TCATCAAATTTGGTACTCAATACATTTTGATGAGAAAATTTTGTCCCAGTACTCATCATTTGTTTGATACTCGACACACAACTAGAACCTGTCAGTGTCAGATGCCTCATGATTCACTATAGTTTCCAGCCACAACAAAGGGTCAGGTGTAAAGCATGCAGTAGTTCTTGCCCTGTAAACATTCCCTTGTGGTCTTACCTTAGCTTCTGTGATCATTTTGCACATTTTTTCTGCTTTTTTTAAAGTATTTTTTTGTTTTATTTAATCTAAATATTTATTAATTTTTAGGTTTATTTCTCATGTAATGATATATCTTTTTGCCTTATCTTTTTGCCTTAAAAATGTGCATTGTCCTTGGTCTGGGACGCATTACATTTACTTACATTATTCCGTATAGGAAAATTTTGTTTGGTACTCAGCCTTTTGGATACTTGCCATGCCTCCTGGAATCAGTTAACAAGTTCCAAGGTACTACTTCATAAGTAGTGGCAGTTTTTGCCATCAAAAAAATTCACTGTTCATGTCCCCCATAACTATTTTTTTTTTAAGTGGTATGAGAGATTCCTAGCTAAGATTCCAGACAGCAACTTCAAATCAAAGAAGGCATTTCTGCATTAAATTGACCCCAAAATTTATTTTTTTGTTCTTAAAGTGTCCACTTCTTTCCCTGGATATTGTTGCATCAGAACAGCTTGATCATTTTGTGATTGGAAGTTGAAATACCAGAAAGTACTCTAAATTGTACTTGTAACTGAAGAATTAATTAAAAAATAATCTTCCTCAAGCAGAAAGCACCTCTAAATTCATCCTCTGAAATTGCTTTTCCTGATTGAATTATATAAAAGTTAACATATGTGAAGGAATAATTATCCAGTATTTGGTTCCACTCTACTAGAAAATCCATAATCTAAAATAAGAGTTTAATTTTAATCAAAATCCAAATAGTTTCCTCTTTTTATAAATAAGTAGAGAGCTGCACTTTTATTTCTGAGGGAGGAATGCCATCTTCTGGTGGGAAAAGATGAAGTGTCATTGAAGCAATTTTTCTAACATAAATTATTGCATAGCAAGAAATTGGAAAATTCGGATAAATTCAGCTATTGAACTACAGTTTCTACTATACAGATAATATGCACTAGATGTACTTCATATATTAACATATATTGTTTCAATTAAAATATATGTTTATTTTATTAATTCTGTCTGAATTTGTGGAGTATAAGAATAACACTCCCAATATATATGTATATTTTATCATATTTAGAACTGGATGATGCAAGTTGTGTGATGCTAATGAAAACCTGTTGCACAGACACACCTAAAATTCATTTATGTGCAATCCAACAAATATTTTTCAGTCTTACACATATGGTTAGAATGAAATTTTAATGCCTCAAAAATATAGAATGCTTCGTCAACCCTTTATCTCACCTGAGTATGTTGTGAAATAAAATGTAAATTTAAGAATGTACTCTAACTGGTTTTGCTAGTGTCTTCAAAGCCATTCTTGAAGTGATCCTGTCAAGTATCTACACACACACACACACACACACACACACACACACACACACGGAGGGCGAGGGGAGAGAGAGATGGCCTCGTGCAATATTCTGTTCAGTCAAGTTAGAAAAATTGTGGTTATATTGCATTTTTAATCACTTGCATTAAAAAATACCAGTCTCTTTATTTTAACACTGATACTACAATCAGTGTTAATGTTTTAATGGTTTCGATATTTCCTATTTCCTTAGTAATCCATTTTATTTTTGGTCATCTTTTATACCTGTGTTAATAACTCATCTATCTATACTTAACAAACTGAGCTATTGGTTGTTTGTTTCAAAAAGAGTAATTGGCTATAAGGAAGGGAGAGACAATTTTATCTAAAATATTAAGTGATTTATTCCAACAGTGCTTTTAAATTAAGCTCAGGGCTTCATAAAAGTAGATTGAAGGCTCCATGCAAGCTTCTGAATTTTTATTTCATAATTTAGAGTAGCTCTGCTTTTTCAAGATATGCTTAGTTACACAGAGGTTCTACTCCTATCTTAGTATATTGGGTTGGATTCATTAAACAAACTAAATAAATATGACTTTTAACTTAGGAACCATTATAATAGAAAGCCTTATCTTCCCACATCATTTTGGCTTAGTATTATCCCATAACGTCCATTTTTCATTAATTATGCTTTGCTCTTTTTCTAAACAAAAGCTTTAGTCTTTTTCTAAGCAAAAATGCATAATCAATCATTGGAAACCACAAGATGGGTAGTCTATAAATTTAATAAATAAATTTTGCAAACCCTAAATTGCATTTAAATCTAGACTATTAAAAATATAAGATTATGTATTTTTGTTTAGAAAAAGAGTAAATCATAATTAATGAAAAATGGAAGCTATGGGATGGTTCTTCTATAAACCCAACTGATGTGGTACCTTGTTCAGTGTGATGTGACTAGTTCTTCAGGGGTCCAATTTCATCTGCTCATTTCTACATTCCTACATTGTTTATTTTGAATACAGACTTCATTGTGATGATAGATTGAAAGGTTCTGCATATTCAGTATTATCGACTCATCGTCATATTGTAAATTCCTTTAGAAATACAAAACATACTATAGTTAGAATACTTTATTTATATGTGAGCAGCTCAGATAATTGATGCATGTATTTTAATGCATTCAAAGTAGCTCAGATCTAATAATATATCATTTGATACTGTATATCAATAACCAGGAACAAGCATCAATATAGTGTATTTCTATCTTCATATGTTGTGCAGAATCACTAACCCCCTTCCTGCACCCCCACACCCAAAGTAGAACAAATTCCACTAGGATGACACCTGGATGGCCTTCATTTTATTGTTACTTTTATGAACCTCCCAGAGAAGCTCTATCCTAAATAAATTCTGAACATCACCATAAAGAGAGGGAAAAATAATTACAGTTGGACAACATATTGTGTAAAATATGTAAGATCACATGGGATGTCACTTATATCTCTTTCTTTTTTATGAACCTGCATGATTCCTATTCATGTGGGAAGCACTCCTCAAGATCACATTTCCAGTGACTTCACTACCAACATCTGGAAAGAGGATGGGCTAAATATATTAGCTGCAGAGAGCTCTCATTTTCAATCCAGCAATCATCCCAATTATATTACTGCACCTGTTCTAATTTCTCTGAATGGTACAGTGGGACACTCAGAATTCAATAGTACTCCTCATGATTTGGAAACTATAATTCTACTCATGAGCCTGAATAGGTATTTGCATTTCTTGTGGTTACGTCACACTGCTGATGCATGTTCCAGTTGCAATTAACTATCAATATCTTTTTTCTCAAGTACATTAAGCCAGCTATTCCCCATAGTATACTGTGCTTTTGTTTCATCTATGTTTCCTATTTCAAGACCTTTACCTGTTTGAATTTCATTGTATTTCCTTCTATTTACATCTCTAACCTATCATTTATTTTGAATTTTATTTCTGTCTTCCACTGCAGAGATTCTTAAGCTCTGTGGTGTTGCGACTTCCTCCAAATAACAAAGCAACAGGTGGCAACAGCACATTGGAGCAAAAACTGACAAAAAAAACAACTGAAACAATGCCAAACAATGATAAAATCCAACCTCACAAAACAGAATCAGATAAAACATCAGATTCAAAAAATAGACCTCAGTGAAGTTATGAATGTACTCACATGGTCTCTGAAGTTCAGGACTTACCTTTGAAACAGCCATTCTTACCCCTACAGCACAATCAACATTTGCTTACCCTCATGAGCAGCCACACCAAATCTTAACTCCACCTCTGGAGCAACCTGCAATGGTCTTCCAAATCTAGATGAATTTTGTGTGCCCAGGCCTGGATCCTGATAAGTCTGTTCAACTTTGAAAGAACACAGCCTACGCCTTTCCTCACCCTCCAAGTGATCTAACTATAGGCAGCCAAGGCTAAATTTCTGCAAGACCACACTGGAGCTCTGAAGAACAGAATCTGGGATCTCTTTTATTCTGCACAGATACTGATCAAATCACAGGAGGGCATCCCAGAGTCCTACAGAATTTTGTTCTCACTCTGCTCAGGCCAATCTCCATCCAGGAAGAACAGGAGCAAGTTCTAGCAGCAATTCAACCCTCTCCTCAACTAAAAAAAATGTAATTTCAATTTATGAGTTCTTACAGAGTAATGATCAACAGAAGGAAAAAAAAATCACTCTAAGGTATTAGCCAATTTGTATAATTTTGTGTCATCTGCATATCTAGGAAGCATCTTCATGCAAACTACATATTGAAAACCTAAAGGTGGTTTTTTCAAGAGGCAATTGGACTTCCTGGTTTTTCTTTGAAGACATTTCACTTCTTACCCAAGAAGCTTCTTCAGCTCTGACAAGCTTCTTGGATGAGAAGCGAAACGTCTTCAAAGAAAAACTAGAAAGCCCAGTTGCCTCTTGAAAAAGCACCTTCAGGACTATCATGACCTGGATGACTGAGATTCTCCATAGACATATACATTGAAAAGTAGATGGTGCAAGATAAGCATTTGTGGTAACCTCAATATTTCAGCCCACTGATAAATCCTCTCTGTGATTTTCAAGCTAATTAAATCTTTTTACTTAATTAAAAAAATGAATATCAAGTTATATGTGAAATGTTTTACTAAATTACCTTTTTTTTAAAAAAAAAAAGGAAAGATTTTTCTGATAAGACTGATTTTTAACAAATTCATGTTGTATAAGTATTGGTAAACAATAAAGCATTGTTTTGAGTTTGCTTACTAATCAATCTATTTATGAATTACTGTAGAATCTATCCTATCCTTCACTCACCTGGTACTTCCAAGGTCCATGAATGCCATTTATGAATTCCGCAGGTGCTCTAGTATATAAAAATTCAATCTGGGTGATTTTGGTTTAATTATTCTTAATTTAAGATATAGAAGATATTAAATTTGCCTGGGTCATATCTGTTGTCTTCGTGTCTACTACAAGATCTTTCCCACCTATGGTACTCCAGATAAATTGGTATTAACTCTGCAAATCTCCAGCCAATATAACCAAAATGCTTTATACTGAAATAAAATTAAAAAAAAATGTTCCCCAAATATTTTTCAGCATTATTTTATTTGACAGGCATTTACAACGTTCGATTCATATGCCTAAAAACATAAAAATAGACCTTCTTTCAGCTTATAAAAGAAATATATAAGAACTTTTGACATTGGCAGATCATTATATTATGTACAAGAACAATGGCAACCTCCAAGCACAGGACATCCAGCATTTCACGGGCTTATTGTATTCCACTGAGGACAGCAAAAGCATTGTAATGTCTAATAAGTTGGTACACAACTGATTTAATTTTAATATGATGAGATACACAGGGCTTAGAAAGCTTTTTAATAAAACGGTTAAAAAATAGCAAAAGTTGAGAGAATAAAACTATCAAAATACTGACTATAGTGCACTGAGAATCGAACTGGTGACACTCCAATACTGGTTGGGACATAAGACAGCAGATGGTACTAGGTAATATTTCCTGTTCATGTCACCAAACATACCCATAGCTAATTATACAAAATGTATTCCCTAAAGCTACTACAAAATTTTAGATTTTCAATATACCTACTAATGTGTCAAACATCAGTAGGTCTGAAAAGAATCCCACTTGAAAAACAAAAAATCCCAAATCCTCCCATTTTTGCAGAGCAAATCTAAGATGGGGAAGCCATATAAATATTTAAAAAGAAAAAAAGTGCTTTAAAAATCATTTGGAAATCTTTGATTATAAGTCATATTTGTACCCTGTTATTGATGTTTAATTAGGAAATTTTAAATGCAATTGAAAGTTGCCTGTTTAGTATATTGTTTGTATTATCTAATACTGTGGAGAGGGAATCAAGTGATAATGTACACTAATCTCACATTGATAAGATGAGGTCAGCTTTTCTGGCCATAAAATATTTAATTTTTCCTGAGCCTAACTTGATCAGGCAGGGAGGATCAAACTCACCCAAGGTGAAATCCTACCAACTGCAACAAAATCACAGCAGGGATTAACTTAACCTCCTTGGATGTTCAGCAATTTGAGATTGCTAACTTTATTCCAGTCTCAAATATGGGTAGCTGCCCACGATATTTTACAGAAATGACGAGTTTGTCCATAAAAGTTTGCAGTTCAGACTGTACCACCACCATCTTCAAACCCTTTCTGAAAGGTTTGTTTTACAGCCCAAACTTGGAATTGAAGAGCACAAGTCTCTGCATGTCTACTTGAAAGTCAGTCTTACTCCTCAGTCATTGCATTTAAAATTGCAGTTTAACACCATCAAATCCCCATTCACCTGTGCCTTTGCAATTTAGGTAACATACAGAAAACTATTTTCAAGTGATAAATTTTGATGTCTAAAGTTGAAAAAAAAAAGATTTTGCATTGTTATAATTTTTTATGTAAAACTAGAAATTCCAACATTGACATTAAACTAACCACAGACCAAAAATAACTCAGCACAATATAAATTCCAGATTTTCCCTCACACATCCCTAATATACACATTGCATCACCAAATCCAGAGATTTTCACTTCGCAACAGGAAGCTTTGCGAATGCTACTGCATGCAGCTACCTCAGCTACTAGAGATGTTTGGCACTATAAAGGCTATAACTTGTTAAAGGAAAAAAGAAAGGGAAGGGCTGGTTCTAGTTCCTGCAAATAAGCGACTGGACTACTCAGCAGTGGTGATGTCAAAGATCTGGTTAGCAGTGCATGTACAGTGCAGATCATCTCTTTTATGTATGTCCTTGAATGTTGAATGCAAGTTTATTCCCTCCATTCAACACCATTCCCACTTGTGGTACCTCAGAAAGAAGGAAATCCCATGTACAGAATGGATTGCCCTTGCTGGATAAGGGTGAATAACTTTGAGTTGAAGAGTGAAATCTGCTGCAGTCATGGACAATTGTTCCTTGTTTGCTGCAACTTTTTAAAGATGAACCTATGATTTTACTTATCACATATAAAATTCATTTGCTGTTGTGCTATCACTTAAGCTAATTTGCTGCACGCATATATTTTAAGAAAAACACCCACAGCATTGTGTTTTTAGCAATATCAATGCAGCCCATTATATTATGCAGCCCCTGAATTGTTTTTAATAAATAAAGCCCTTGGTACTATATAGAGAAGGACTCAAGCTCATACTATTTTCAAATTTTGCTTCACTTCTCCTTTTTATACTACTTTAAAGGAGAAAACAGAAGGAGAGGCTGTAGTTTCAACAAGTTTAGCTGCCATTACTATATGTGCAAGTATGCATTCTAAGGGATGGCTCTCCACAATGTATAAGGGATAAATTTGGGGCTCACCTACACCTAGCATCTAACCAGAAAGTATTGGGTTTAAAGTTCTGTGTTTAATTTTCTTGATGGTACAAAATCTTGACGGCGAACCCAGATGACTTCTTCACCGTTCCCTTCCATGCTACCATTAATTCCAGACAGAGCAGCTTGTTTCTTTAACTGAGCCATTCTGGATGCGTGTGTGCCCATGGTATACCGTGTTTTGGTTTCCTGGTATGACTGGTTGCTTGTAATAGAGGCTGACTGCAGTTGCTCCTGGAGTTCTTTTTCAACCATGGTGTTCTTCAAAGGCTCACAACAGTCCTCCTCATCACTGAGAATATCTGTTTCTTTTATGTTCTCTTGTTCTTCATACTGACCAAGATCAAACTGCTCTTCTACCCAGCGGTCAGTGTCCTTGTTGCTGGATGACTGATGGGTCTCTTTCTCAGGACTGCTGGCAAAGACGGCATCTGAATCAATGGTAAATCTGTTTCGGGCTAGGCGTCGCCTTCTCCTCCCGAGTGACTTGCTTGGGGCAGACACTGTGTACACACAAAAATAAAATCCACGATGCTTTTATAAAGAGAAATTCGAATTATTTTTAAAATTAGCCTTTGCACTCTTCCTTTCACAATAATGGTAAAGGTTTCCCCTGTCATGTCCAATTCTAGGGAGTGGTGCTCATCTCCATTTCTTGTCCAAGGAAGCCTGCATGACTATACACCAAAGGAGCATAGAATGCTGTTATCTTCCTACCAAATTGCTACCTATTTATCCACCCACATTTGCATGCTTTCGAACTGCCAGGTGGGGAGGAGCTGAGGCAAGCTCACCCCACTGCACAGTACTCGGGTTTCTTTAAACACTGAGCCATCGTGGTCTCGCTACACCAAAGCTGATAATTGATCACAACGAAACATGTAAAATCTGACAAAATCTGGGGAACTGATAAACATGAAGAAAGGCTAATAAATCTCCCTGAGGGAGATGAGCAGTTTAGAAACACAAAATATAACTAAAGTTATTTATGCTGTATTTACCATAAAATACAAAATAAATAATAAATGCTTTGAATGTGTAAAAATCTATTTGTGCCGTAGTGTCCATGCATGTCTATGTACATACACACACACATAAATATTTATTTCTGACCAATGACTGAAATAAAGTGATGATAATGTCAACAATCATTGAAAATATTTATATCGAAATCTTCTAGGCAGAGAAATTAAGTTGTATACAAGGTTAAAATTTACCTTGTAAATTCTAAAATATCCTGTAGTTAACATTAGAGTTGATAATGGAAAAAGAAGGTAATTTTTTTTCTTCCTTCAGTAGATAGAAATGTCTTAGAGTTAATTCTAACATCTGGACCATTGGTACTGAAACATGTGGCTCAGTGGTCCTCTATTACTTCTCACTTCATTATTTTAAAATAAGCTAATAGCACTGGATGTCAGACTTTTTGACGAGAAGCAAAAGTCATGGGGCGATATACAGTGAGCTGATATTTAATGCGATGTTCCTGCCCTACACCTGAGGTGGGATTTTGTGAATTCAGCTTCCTTATACTCCTCACAACATTCAAGTTTCAAATGACAGTTGTGTTACATAAATCTGCCACTATGGCAGTTAATTATTAATTAAATATGATCTTATTACACATTTCTGAAACTGCAATAAATGGGATAAAAATATTAATAAGGAAAAGCATTCTTTGTGTGTATGGTGCTTTGTTTTGTTTTGTAAATTCTCTTGAGACTAATCTGTTGCAGGCACATAATGTGAGAGACCAAAGTAAACAATGAGTGGGACAGAACCAGTAATGAGTAGGATCATCCTTCCTTGCTCTTAAACTCATTTTTCCCTCTTTTGGGGTGTTTAGCAAACTTTAATCAATGGTACCTGTCCTGTTCATAGCTGGCCTTGCACCTTTCAATGCACTCAGCCTTTTCCCTCCAAATGGGACATAGTGCTGTGAAGAGGGCAAACTTTCAGTTTTAAGAAGTTGTCTTCTGTGTTTGTCACGTAAAATTGAATGCACAGCTTTTAGAAAATCTTTCCTGTGTTCTGGGGAACTGAAAAGAAGAAATAAAGAACACACACCAGTTATGTGCTGGTCTGTCAGCAGAATATTGACATTTATTTATTTAGTGTAAGTGGTAATATAATTTTGCAAACTATCACTCCTTACCTACAACAAAGATGGAATGACCTCTCTGGCCTGCCTTCAGACTCAGATTTCACATGAACTATCTCACAGACAGAACTGGTCTCTGCATCTTGACAAAGAGAAAAGAACATTTTAATAACATCATTTTGATTTTTTATTTACTGGAAGCATTTCAAAAACAATCTCATCTGAAATTTGAAGGTTACTGTGATGATTAACTTAGTGACTGAAATACATAATATTAATTGGTCCAAGAATTATAACCCCAGGAGTGGTGGATTATGGATTATTTCCATGGCATGCTGAATACATGGAACAACCGAAACATGTAAAAGCTTCTTAACATGGTTGCAATCCCATCACATCACGCATCTTCCCCCATTAGCAATGTCCAAGACTGGTACTAGAAGGTGGTATACTTTTTTTCTTACATGATGAATGACTTAAAATGAATGAATCACAGTCAGACATTCCCAAGAAAACAATATTCCTTCCACAAGGAGGTCTCTGCCTCTGTAACATCTTCAACAGATGCAGCCAGTTGCACCACTGCATAGACACCCACCATCCATTTCAGAATGGACTATACATGACTCCCATTCAAATCACTTTGTTAATAATCAGATGTAAACAATTTGAAGGGATCTTCTTAAGCAAGCGCCATTTTATTTTATCAATACAATTTTGCTCCTATGCTGTGGGCGAATATACCATTACTGACGCTACTTTTTTAAAAGCCAGAAAATGAAAATCTGAAAAGTAAAATTAATGAAGTTTATATAAACTAGAATAGGCAACTTTTACATTATCTATTGAAACTCTACAGTAATGAATTCTAGACCTGTACAAAAAGACCTATACAAAACATCTTTGGACCACTTTCCATTGGCTGCACTGAATGGGATGTTTAGTTGTTAAAGAGAAACCCACAGAATGCAAATTTCAAAGCTTAAAGCAAAACAAAAGCAATCTAAAAAGTAACTGTCATTATATTGATATGAACGTAGGTGCTATTGTATTTACAAAAACAGTGTTGTCCATATACCTATAATGTTACTCATGGTACAACATGAAAACGAGCAATAATCTCATAGGCCTTGAAAATTTTCAGTGACTTAATTTAGGTATATTGCTGTTCCCTTGCTTGATCCAGCTTTCCTCACAATTAAAACTCTCGGTGGTGAATCTAAAAACTCCTACAGGCATAGCACAGGCAGTGCACATCAGCAGCTCATATTAGGAATACATATTAGGTATTGAAAAGAATCTGCAGATTGCTCTAGTTATACGTTGTGGCTACAGATTTTATATCGGAAAACATAGTTTGTGTCAGCTGATGCACACACATACACACAGAGAGACACATGACAAAAAAATTACAAAAGGATTAAGGACAATTCAAATCTATGCTCATGTTAGAAAGATAATCTGATTGGTGAGACTCAACTTTCTTTACAGTTTTAAAGGTTAAATGTATCTGCATGAACAAGAGTCATTGGGAAAGCTATGTTAACCCTGTTAATGGCCAGTTTTGCCTCATGAGGAAAGGAGGCTAGGAAACAGTGACTGAGGGGAATTCTAGAGAAGATAAGAGCTGTCGGATATGGATAAAGAGGTTTCCTTGGCCAATTAGAAATAATGATTCCATGGAGATTGATAAGCAATGTAAATACAAAAAAGTGAGACCAGCAGAAATAGCACCCTAAAGCCCTGTTTAGCAAGCATTAGTTCAAACATTAAAATAATGATAGGCTCCCACTCCTTTAAATAATTTTGTTGACTATCAGAATTATTGTAAGTCAAATGTTCAATCACTAAGGGTTTAATTCTCTTTAAAAGAAGTAAGTGTGAAAACAGCTGAAGCTACCCAATTCCTCCTCTCTTGAGGTTTCTGTTCCGAAATTCAGGAAATAGGAAAACAACAAGAATTCAAGCTAACACCTATATGTACCAAATAAAAGGGCCCACTTGGACAGTTAAAAATGTTATCAAATATAACCTGAATGAGACATCCTGCTATTTTTCTGCTTTTGTTTGTTTGTTTTATAATTCTTATTTTTGATAAATTGGCTTTTCCTGATAGAATGTATACTTACTGTACTTGTAGTTTGGTAACTAGTAGGATATATTTCTTTAAAAGAGAAGTTTTACAATAACCAGATTTTAAAAAATCATAAATGAGCCACTTAACCTACCTGAGCTTGCCAAGGCTCGGACCTGCAAAGCCTCCAAGGGAATCATGTGACGGAAACGGAATGGGTCTGTGTCTTCATAAATGGAAGCCCTATGGGATCCACCCTATGTAGGGAAAAACAATTTTTATTATTAATGATATTATATAACCATATATACGGGTTTATTTCATATCAAATGTTTAAAATATCTACAGAAAGCCTTCAATCTTGATCAATACAAAATGAAGAAAAGTGATGGAATTAAGTTTATAGGAGTTTTCCCTAATGGCTTCATTGTTTCATCCCTCATGATAATTTCCCATCTGAAAAAGTAACTTTATATTGTTATTCTATTATTCCCTTAATTTGAGTATCAGAGCAACCATTATCTTGCGGAATAGTTTTTCTGTCTCAGGCAGAAACAGGTTGAGATTTCTGTCTCAAGCAGAAAAAAATTAAGATCAAATGTCACAGGGTTATAATAGAAGATCTCTGTTTCATTTCAAGAATAGTGAATTATTTTTGGACCAAAATTAGAGAACTTATAATGATCCATCAAAGTTTTATGATTATATCTGACACATCAAACCACTAAAAGTTTTCTGCATTAAATATATGTTGGTAGGGTGTTACAGCCGCAAAAAAGGCAAGTGTAGTTTCCACGTCAGCAGAACTATATTTTTATAATTATAGGAAGATATAATTTTACTTTATTTCACTTTTGTCTAACTTATCTTAGAATATTATAAAAATTTCAATAACAATTCAACAGATTCCAGAAAGGTCAGCAGGGATAATTAGAAGATCAGAAATCAAATCCTATGATGAGACAATGAAAAAACTAAAGCAGATTGCCTTGAAAACACCAAGGAAAGCGGGTAAATGGAGAATAGGTTAATCTAAAAAATTCACCCTAAAAATGTAAAGCTCTATTCTGCATCACTACAAGTAGCAGGGCATAGAATAATATATTTAATTTAAAAAAGACCAAATTCTGGTTAGGTGTTAGGAAGTATCAATTGCCCAGAGAAGTGAGTGGTGACCATTCACCAGATAATCATCTGATTATCTGACGATAAATCATCTGATTTCATGGAGTTTTACTATTTTAAAATTTTGGATTATCGTATAGATAACAGCTCTTTCCAACTCTATTAAATTCAATTCTATCACAAGCACAGGATATTTCAATCAAAATCTGTCTAATCTCCATGGTTTGTTTATTTACCTAAAAGATTTATAAGGCTCTCCATCTTAAACAACTCTGGGCAGCTCACAACAATAAAACCAATAAATCAAACAATCATAAAACAGTAAAAACAATAAAACAAATGATGAATAAGAAACTAAAAGACACAATGAAAAAGAAGATAAAGGAGAGCTATATGAGCATATATTAGGAAATTGGTTACAAAGAATTAAACAGAATATGTATATCCAAGGTGTTTCCTTTTGAAGAAACTGATAGTAATAATAAATAACTCAAACTGATAGTAATAATAAATAACTCTAATAAAAAAGGAAATATTTGACAGCTCTGTCCAAGCATTAAGTTTACAATTAAAAATAGTTTATAATAATTATTGCTGGAATGATCTAATTATCCCAATCTAATAGGATATTTCACATTTTTTGTTGCTTAACATTATTTACAGTTGACAAACTTACCAATTTTTTCTTCTGTTTCACTCCTTCTTTATATACAAGTACCACAGCAGTTTTGAACACTACAGGGAGAAAAAAAACAAGAAAACCAACAGTTTGCCAATGCACAACCAGAAAAAAAAATATCTGCTACTAATTCTGTGGAAAATATTCAAAGATTCTTCCTCTGCACTCATACAGTAGCCTTCCTCATATGCCAAGAAGAAAGAGCATAATTTTCTAAATATGTGATAGCCAGATGAACTGAAGTAATATCTATTCTGAACAAAAAAATAATACTCAATGTTTTTAAAAGTCAATGGCACTTACTTCATCGATAGAGGTCTATAAATTGTAATCATATATTTAAACGTTTACTGGTATTTGAGGATCTTCCCAACAGAATCAGTTCATTCATTTAACAGGATTACTCTAGAATAAGCCCTTTAATAAGTATCATTTAGTATTTGTACCTGTAAATGGTCCCTATAAACAATTAAAAATGTTCCAAAATGTAAAACTTTCATTTAATGATTTTTCAAAATTATGAAGAAAAAGTTAAATATACATAGTGCATAAATTACATAAATTATCTTGTACTCCTAGATTATTTGCAGGGAATTTCTCTGATACAGTATTATGCATGGAAAGAACCAAAATCAACATTTACAAACAAGCAGCATTTCAGCAAATCTCCCTGAAGGATGAATTCAGAAGATGGAAGGAAAAATAAGAGCTACTGCCTACAGCCATCTATTTTACATTTCACGGCTTCTTTTTATATTTCCCGACTCACTGAGCTTTGTAATATTATTAAGCTTGTAAAGTTTAAATAGATGCATACTAAGTATACAGACAGACTCCAAAGCCCTAAATTGTTACTTTATAAAACATCTTTAAAAACAAGAATGCCAACAGCTTAAAATGATTTCCCCAAATCTGATGTATTTTGGTTCTCATCATTTACAGTCAAGTTTCTAAAGTGTGCCAAAGGGGAGAAGGGGTGTCCTAAAATACCTGACTGCAAAGTCAAATCTTACTCATTTATTTTCCAACATTTTTGCTTATTTAATCAAGCTTTCCTATGAATCTAGGAATCATTTTTATGCTTTGAAATCCAATGTTATAGCAATCTGCCTCAAATATTAGTCCATATTATGCCCAAAGCAGGGTTGTCTCACATAAAACAGAGGGGTGGGGAAGTTGAACAGTTGTGACTGCCATCTTGACAATTCCCCCACCCACCCCCAGCACTCCCTTCTAGAAACACCTTCAGTGGTATGTATCATTGGAAACTATAGAAACATGTTTTATTTAATTTTTATGTGAAACGTTCATTTGCTTTTTCTCTGAAAAGAAGCACATACCGAATGCTGCCAGTTCAGGTTCCTTCTTCCACTTTCCAAGTGACGCCGGAGGATTAAGCCAGATGACTGTGGTATGCAATAGCAAATCTCCCATTGAAAGGTCTGCCACCTGCCAGTCACATACCCATGCAAAAAGAAAATGAGTGTTCTTAAAAGGCATTTAATAGTCTTTGAAAATAAATTTTAGCCTTTTCCTGGGATTCTCTGACTTTAGCCACACAGGCTCAAGAAAGGATAGAGCAGCTCCAAGGTGTTACAACCAGATGCTAAGTTCATATTCCAGAACATGAAACAGTTGTCATGGCTGCATTCCCAATAAAGAAGTAAACAGGATCAGTCCTGCTTTGCTTTGTGAGAGGGCCAAAATGGGCCAAGAGCTGACATATATACCTACTCCCAAATTTTTCATTTTCGCACTTTTTCTTTTAATCTATTTTCTTCCCTTTTCCTTTTTGGACTCCCTTTTTAATTTTATCTAAATTATCCAAATATTTATCAAAATAAAACGTGAAAAAGGAACAAAAACAAAAAAAGGAAAAAAGAGATTAAAAGCAAAAGGAAGGAAGTCTTGCTTTTCGTCTTGCTTTGTTTCAAACAAAAGAAAAAAGCAAATTAGTATCAGCATCCTATTATGTACCTTTTACTCTTAAAACTATTGTCCTAATAATTTCCCAGGTACATTATATTGTAGGTCAGGCATGTCAAATTCGTGTCATCATGGTGGCGTCACATGACATATTAGGAACTTTTTTCCCCTTTGCTAAACTGGGCAAGGGCGGGGAGAGCAAGTGACACATTCAGCCCGTGGGCTGTGAGTTTGACACCTCTGCTGTAGATATTAAAACTGTTTCAAAACTGTGTCTAAAAAATTCTAGCTATTAATCATGTTGTTTCCTTACAGAACCATGATGGCGAACCTATGGCATGCATGCCACAGGTGGCACGCAGAGCCATTTGACGGGCACACGAGCCCCAGCCAAACTTACCTGCACTTCATATGTGTGTGCCTCCCAACTGATTTTTGACCCATTTGAGGCCATTTTTGCCCTCCCGGGGGCTCAAGGAAAGACTCTGCAGCCTCAGGAGGCCAAAAAACAGGCCTCCTGGAAATACCAGAAGTGTCGAAACGGGCCTGTTTTTCTGCCTCCTGAGGCTGCAGAGGCTTTCCTCAAGCCTCTGGGAGGCAAAAACAGCTTCCCCTGGGCTCCAGAGGCCCTCCGGAGGCTGAAAACGGGCACTTCCAGTATTTCTGGAAGGTCTGTTTTTTGGCCTCCCGAGCTGCAGAGGCTTCCGTCGAGCCTCCGGGAGGGCGAAAACAGCCTCAAACAGGCTGAAAATCAGCTGGGAGGCGCATGCATGTGCAGTGCAGGTAAGGGAGCGAGGCAGGGGTGTTGCGCGCACATGTGGGATGGGCAGGGCACATTGCATTGCGGGTGCCAGACACATGCGCTTTTAGCACACCACAACAAAAAGGTTCGCCATCACTGTTATAGAATATCTATCAAAAGAAAACTAAACCCCAAACCCAATTATTTCACTGTGTAATGTTTTATTACACTACATATAACATACTGAAGCAAATTTTCACCAATGTGAACTAAATATGCCTATTATGATTGAAGAAATGAGATTATACATGCAGTAATAAATGCAAAAATTACTCTGAAAATTGAGTTATGGCCACTGGATTTATTTTTGTTGAGAAGTTTTGCTGCTCATCCAAGCAACTTCCTTAGTCTGAGCAACTTGGGCAGCAGAAGGTTGTTGGAATGCATCAAATTCAGGGTTTCTTTCCCAAAGTGTGTGGCAATATGTTGATGAATTTTCTCAGTCATCCAGGTAGAGTTATCTGAAAACCAAGTCATGCCAACTGGATTTATTTTTATTAATTTGTGATGTTTTACTGCGCAACCATGTAACTTCCTCAGTATAAGTACCTGAATGAGAATCTTCATCAAAATATTAATACTGAGATTTCATTTAAGCAACTTGCTTTTTGGGTAACAATGAGAATTCTTTCCAATTATTTTCTCTTTCCTTATAATATATGAGCCCATCTCCCTACAATATTCAGGTGGCAATATCTAACACAATCTAACAAAGGTTAAACATCATTATTTACATCAGTTTGAGAGAGGATTTTCATAGCTGGGTACCTCTTTCTTATCTCCTGTTTGTTCTGCAATGAGCTGGTCAAACACAGCTCCATATTCCTCATGGATTTTCTGCATTTCATTGATGTGGCTAGCAACCTTGTTCATTGTTTTTATGGCCACTAGAAGACAAGCAAAGATATAAAAAGATTACAGGAGAATTGACCTGATTATATTATTAAACATGAAAAACTCTTTTTTCTCATTGTCTTAAAAAATCTACCATAATTTTAATATTTCAGTATGGTCCTACACTGATGATATATTATGCCTTGTTGGTTAGGAGGAACTTTATTTTCTTTTGCATTATTGCCTCAGTCATTTCTAGTTCTGATCATCAACTAAATGGAGATGTTTACTGAGACTCACTTAGTAAGCAAAGGAGCAGCAGTTAAAGTGAACAAGCTACATTTTAACTAGTCTCATAAAATTTAAATACTACTGGCTTTAACAATGGTTCAAAGTTACAATAGCCTTGGGAAAACTTATTTACATCCTGTTCTTTCGCTTATGATGGTCATACCAAATTTATGTTATCACACTATATGTCCTTGTTAACTTACATATTTTGACCATCATTGATGCATACAAAACTGAATGTTCTGCATGTGTTGAAGCAATGTAATACACATCTAAATATATGGTACAATTAACTAAAGTGTCCTATTGTGTGTCTTTATATGCAGTCATGGAGATAACACTTGAACAGTTTTCAAGCAAGATTCCTAAAATATGCAATTGAGGTTGTTGCAAGCTTATTTAGGTATGAAAACATGCATTAAACATTTCTTAATCCTTGTACATCATCTTTATCACAGAGTAACTGATGCTTCATTTTTATATACTTTCAGATACATTAATATCTCTTACAGATGTTGATAACTTTCTAATACACTGTGTACACAAGTATTAGGCAAGTGACTATTTTGACCATATCATCTTTTGTATGCATGTTTTTCACCTCCAAGCTGTATAAACTTAAATGCTTAATGGATATAAGCAGATCAGGTGATGTTTGTGTAATAAGGGAGGGCGTGGCCAAAGGAAATCAACACTCTATATCAAGGTGTGCATAATTATTAGGCAGTTTCGTTTCCTCAGGCAAAATGGACTAAAAAAGAGATTTAACTGACTCTGAAAACTCAAACATTGTAAAAAAATATTTTAGAGGAATGCAGCAGACTTGAAATTGCTAAGACATTGGGGTGTATCACAGAACCAATAAACATTTTGTTGCAAATAATCAACTGGGTCGCAAGAAACATGTTGAGAAAAAAAGATACACCTTAACTGCCAAAGATTTGAGAACAATCAAACATGAAACTACCAGGAACCCATTATCCTTCAGTACTGTCATAATTCAGAACTACAACCTACCTGGAATGCCCAGAAGTACAAGGTGTCCAGTGCTCAGAGACATGGCTAAAGTAAAGAAGGCTGAAATCCAATTATCACTGAACAAAATACATAAATTGAAACAGAAAGATTGGGCCAAGAAATATCTGAAGACAAATTTTTCAAAGGATTTATGGACTGATGAGAGGAGAGTGGCTCTTGACGGACCAAATGGATGCATCCGTGGCTGGATCAGTAACGGGCACAGAGCTCCACTTCTACTCAGACACCAGCAAGGTAGAGGTGGGGTACTGGTATTGGCTGGTATTATGAAAGATGAGCTAGTTGGATCTTTTCAGGTTGAAGATGGACCCAAAATCAACTCTCAAACCTACTGTAGTTTTTAGAAGATACTTTCTTCAAGCACTGATGTAGGAAAAAGTCTGCATCTTTTAAGAAGACCTTAATTTTTATGCAGGACAATGCTCTATTGCATGCATCAAAGTACTCCATTGAGTGGCTAGCCAATAAAGCAGGGGTGGGGTGCTGCAGGTTTGGGCGGGTTCGCCTGAACCCCTTGTTCTGATTCTGCATGGTTCGGAGAAACAGCAAATTGCACCACCAGATGGCCCCGCCCCTGCCTGTTTTTTGGGCCATTTTTGGCTGGTTTTCTGGGTGAAAAACGGCCTGAAAAAGGCCCAAGAATGGCCTGAAAATGCCCCAAGTGGCCTGAAAAAATCCTGAAAAGCAGCCTGTTTTTCAGGATGTTTTCAGGCCGATTTTGGCTGATAAAATGGTCTGAAAGCAGCCTGGAAAACAGCCTGAAAATGCCCCCAAAACAGGCCAAAAATGGGCAGGATGGGGCCAGCTAGTGATGGGATTAGCCCCAACTGGCTGAATCCTACGTGTTCCTTTGAAGCAAGTGGCCGGAAGGTGAGGCTGGGTGTGATGATTGACATCACCCACCCAGTCACATGACAAACCAGCTACACCTACCCAGCTAGAGAACCAGTTGTTAAAAAATTTGCAGCCCACCACTGCAATCAAGGCCTTAAAGATGAAGGAATAATGACACGGGCCCCTTCCTCATCTGACCTAAACCCTATTAAGAACTTGTAAGTCATTCTTAAATGGGAGATTTGTGGTGAAGTAAAACAGGACACCTCTCTGAACAGTCTCTGGGAGGCTGTGGTTGCTGCTGCACAAAAAGTTGATCATGAACAGATCAAGAAACTAACAGACTCCATGAATGGAAGGCATATGACCGTTATTGAAAAGAAGGGTGGCTATATTGGTCACTGGTATGTGTGTGTTTTTTTTTGAACTGTCAGAAATTTTTATTTGTAAATTTTGAGTTGTTTGTTTATTATCCTCACTTTAACAGATGAAAATAAATGAGATGGGAAACTTTCCATTTTTCATTTAATTGCATAATAATTCTGCACACTAATAGTTGCCCAATAATTGTGCACACATAGATATTCTCCTAAGAAAGCCTTAACCTCACTTATACTTCCTTAAATATTCAGGTTTGAGGTTTATTAACATTTGGGATTGATCGAGAGCACTACAGTTGTTCAATAATCAAATTAATCCTCCAAAATACAGCTTGCCTAATAATTGTGCACACAGTGTATATTAAGAAACTTTATCAGAAACAATGGCAAAACCAAAAGTACCAACAAAAGAAAAGTTAGAAAAATAGTTTACCATCAAGATGATAATGTTCTTCACTATCAGCATCAGTGAGAGTAAATAGTTCTTTCAGCAGAAGAGGGTACTTCAATATCCTCTGGATTGGTTTGATGAGGTAAGACTCTAATGTTGACGAATGTTGTCTTTTGGGATTCTGGGCATCTAAGAATGCTTTAAATGCTGTGTCTGTCTTAGCTATATTTTGAAAATAAAAAAAATATCTCAAGAAATAATGTTTTAGCTATCTCTACTACAGAATATTTCTACCATATTATTTAGTTGTTCACTTTTGTAAGAGGCTCTCAAAATAGCATTGAGAAGTCTTTTTAAAAAAAATATGGTTCTAAGATCCCTGGGGTACCCCAAAAAGCTTTTACGGGGTCCATAAAAATAAAAATTATTTGCCAGTCTATAATATATTGGAAAAATAATACAATATTAAAATTCCATCAAACAATTGTGAGAAGCAATAGGCACATCAATTTTAATTTTTAATATGGTAATATTGACAAATGCAACCCCTACAGACAAAATAAAACTCATTACAGGAATTGACAGTCCTATCCACTGGGATTGAAAACACATTGGATTAGAATGCTCTCCATGTTCACTTTATATGTGTTATTGAGGGACTTTTCATCTCAGGAAGTCCTTAATTTCAAGTTCATTTCATATACGAATCAGGACTTCACTTACACATGTAAGCTAGAGTCAAAATGAGTCACTACTTTCTGCGTTTTGAGTAATTGTTCTTACTGAAATAAAAATGTTCAAGATGATATTGTATTGTGATATGCTCTTAGAAGACAAATTATTGATAAAACTTATTTCAGCTTTCAGCTTTAAAATGTGAATTATCCTTTCTAGTATATTAGACTGGAGAAATGGCCATTGGTCATTCAATAAATAAAATAATCAAAGTGATGTAATTTAACTTTGATCTACTAGTTGTGTATGAATAATACCAAGAGTTCAACTCGTAGTTAAATAATCATACTGGACGGAATTGGAAGAAAGGAAGAAGTTTATGTTACGCTTACTTTCTTCTTTATATTTTTCAACATAAAACAAATCAGGCTCTCACATTTCATATTGCTGAAAAGACACGAACTTAAATGTCTTTCATTTCAAAGTATTTTTCGACCAACCTTACCTAATGTAACCTTACTTACATGAATCTGTAATATGATTAGAGAAGTGTAAAATTTGAAGGTACCTTAGCTGCCATGAAGTACGGCTCCCTAATACACTTAAAGCTTGCAATAAAGAATTATTGACAAAAGAATGTCTCGTTCACTTTCCAGAAAAGTAGAATTCCACATTTATCTTCTGAAGTTCCAACATCACCTTGATCTTCACACTCTGAGGCAATTTTGAATTTATAGAAACATTGTACTATATGGGACAGAGAAAGTTGTGTATATCCCACTCTTACCTTTCACTAGGACTTTTGGAACCTTTGTGTGGCTTGCGCAGAAGGCACTATACAGCTTGAAACGGTCAGCATAATACAGGAAGGACCCACCCAAGGAAAACAACACTTTCTAGGATCAAGAATATATAAATCAGAATGTTGAAATAAATTTGGGGCTGACCTTAACATCATAAAAGAAATTAAATATTCTCCAACTGACAACTTTTGACTTCATTATTTACTAATGCAAAGATTTTTGTTTATAAATTCTGAGAGATCACTTAAAATACTAAATACAAATTAAACACCAAGATACATATTCTGTACGCAATAGTGGCAAGTATCTGTAGCTCTGGTGTAGGATGAGGGTGAAGGTCCATTCTCTGATCTTGTGGGTTAGTTTCCAAATATTCCAAACCTAGCCTAGAATGAAACGTTCAGAAACCAACCCACAAGCTTGGAGGACAAACCTTCACCCTCATACATTCTGTTGCTAAAAGCAGACAATATTGCATAGAATTGGTTCACTAGGAAGTTTCTCTTATTAAACTAATCTTTAAAAGAATATGATTGATATGGAATTTTTGGCCATGCTCATTCCCATACACGGGAGAATTTTCCATGTAGGAAAAAAGAATGTATCCCATTGTAGAATTCTCCCTTCTACATGGAAAGTGGGAGCTCCTAGATTAAAAATCTTAAAGAAAGAAAGAGATGACTGCAGCTAGGCTGGTCTTATTATTTATTTAATGCACAGTTCTACAAGAAACCCATACCTGTGGATCAAATATCATTCAAACATGTCACCTTATTGAGTTCAGATGAACATCTTAAAAGCTAAGTGAATTAAATTGCACTGAAATCATAATAACAGTGAATTATGGAATATGTACCCATTGCCCTATTGTAAATTACTGTCTACAATAATACTTAATGCCATTTTTTGATGCCTCCGATGTTTTTTCAGCCCTGTTTTTTACTACTTTGTTTAGTTACCCTTTCCTTCATTTTAAATTCTAGACAATTCCTGATAAAGAAAAAAGAAGTGTCAGAGGCTAATAGCTTTCACCGTCACTCTTTCAGCAGGCACTTTAACTACTTTCCTCCTGCTTCAGTGAGCATTCAAGCTACAATTATAATTCAGAAACATTGCCTCAATTATTTTGTAGGCAATGATATGTTAGGGTTGCTGAACTAAGACTTTAGGCAGCAGTGTTTCTGTTGCTACCTCTTTCTAATCAAAAATTGACATGGAATTAAATATATAATTATATATGCCTTTACAGGAGTTGCAATTATTCTTTGTTGCAGCTTGCAGTACTAATGCACTTTGTTTTTAAGACTTCATTCTCATCATAGTTGTATCTTAGCAAAAGATTTGCAAAAACAAATTAAAAATTGTGAAAACATGTTCATATGACTACTGTGGCAGGATTTTTGATTATTAATAAAAAAATGCAATTGAAGGCTTACTTTAAACTGGTCAACTTTTTCAAGCTTTTCCAGATCTGGCACCAATCTTACTCCATCTTCAAGTGTTTTCAAAAACTCTACTTGAAATGCCACCATTTCAGTCAGATTCCCAAAAAGAACATCAAGCTAGTAAGGAATGAAATATAAAAATCATATTTTTCATAAAACAATAACAAAATTTAGGTGATATGCTAGCCATGTTTGGCTTCATTTTTTAAAAAAAAATCACTGAAGAATTTCAGAAAAAATGGCCCTTAGAAGTATAAACATAAAATCTACTGTATCGTTTTTATTTTGACCAACAAATGAAAGATACTATACCTCTTCTTGAGTAAGAAAAACTTCTTTTTGTAGTGGTTTCAGGTATCTCTCCATTAGACAATTTAAATCCTGAAAATGAAAGATTATACTTTTAGCAGTTTTCAATGAGAAATTTAAAAACTTCAAATTCCAAATACCTTTGCAGGATTTTCAGTCATTTAATATTCATCATTAATGCTGGGTTTGGAACTTTCTTGAAGCATCTATTGGCTACTGTCAAATAAATTCTGTATTAGATAAAATATATTGATTTGATTTGGCATGGAATCATTATTGTATTGTCTTTATTGGAGTATTCATCTACTTCATAGGGAATGCATAGGTTATTTTCTCTGCTGCATCCAATTCCTAACTCAATGTTGAATGATATAATGGCCCAAATAAGCATCTATATATCTTGAAAAATAATATGACAAATACTAACCTAAATGTATCATGAATCATCAAAGGAAAAAGGAAAACCATCACTATTGAAAACAGGACTTGAAAACCTTGAATCAGCCTTTACCAATGTAAAACTAAATACAACTGCAAGTCCCAGAATTTCCAGCTACCTTGGAAGATGTTTAGTTGAGGAAGGCTGAAGCATTTAATGTATTGCATTCATTACAGTATGGTACATTTTGGGAAAACACTAAAGTAGATTTAGAAAGTCAAATAATATATTAATATTACCAAGATTTACATCTGATGTTTTAAAATTGTCTCTTAATAAAAATGATAAAAGCAAGACCCATGGGCAATACTTTTCCAGTTCAAAACTATATTTTTTTAAAGGGAAATAGTATATTTATTTATAAATTTTATTGGCCTCTCATCTTATCGCAGGGTAACTTTAGTTTAGGGTAGAGACTTTGTGTTTAGAAGCATTGTGTTTACTTTTTTTTTTTAGGGCAAAATGGATCCCCCCCCCCCCGCCCAATAAAGAGAACTGTGAACTTACTTTTAAGGATTTGCCTTAATAGGGAAAAATCAGATTAGAAATATGTGTTCCTGTTATGTATTAAACACAGGTGGTCCTTGCTTAATGACCACTTATTCAGCAACCATTCAATCTTACAACAGCACTGAATGAATAGTATTTATGACTGGTCCACTTAGCTGAAATTGCAATGTTTCCACAATTACATGGGCAACCAGCTCTCAAGTATGACATTACAGCACCCCACAGCCATGTGATTGCCATTTGCAACCTTCACTGACAGCTTCCCACAAAAAGGTCAGTGGGAAAACTGCCAGGAGGTTGCAAATGGTGAGACATGCTATCGCGTTTAATAATGGCATAGGATTCATTTAACAAGTACAACTGGAAGTATTGGAACTGCCATTTCTAAGTGGCATGGTCATAGGAAATCCTACTTTATGACCGTGTCACTTAGCAACAGAAATTCCAGTCCCAATTTCTGTTTTTAAATGAGGAGTATACTATAGGTAATATTTAACTTTTTATTTTATATTTGAGATCTGCAACTTACTCTCCTTTCTTTTGCAGTTGCTAACTCTACTCCAATAAACCTTGATCAACTGGTTATTATAAGCATGACTAAACTGGATGCATCGAACTATTAGCAGAGTAAAGGACAGAAAACTCTTATTCTAAAGAAAGAGAGGAAACAATGGGCAGCTTTGATTTTACTACTGCCAACAAAGAGGCACTCCTGGGCTTTTTCTAAAAGCTGATGGCAGCAGAATAAAGGGAGAACAGGAAAGAGATAAAGCAAAGGACTCAATCTTTTTTCTTTGAAGATATGTTTAAAGAGTCAATGTTACCTTATTTCTGCTTAGCTTAAGCTAATGTTAGCATGACAGGATAGAGGAGGAGAAAAGCAGAGATGATACTCGTGAGTATTATGGGTTAAGTCTAGAAAAATGGGTCATGGCTAGAATGGGTCATGTTTGTGACTCTTGTCCACACTTCTTGACATGCAAATTAATACATAACAGCATATCACCTTGACATATGTGCATTCTGTTTCAAGTAGTTCACAAATAACTTTGCGCAGTTTATCAGCATCAGTTAGCTGTCTTGTAGTGGATTGTTGAGGTCCAGTAGATTCCTGAATGATCACATTAGGGTCAGATGGATTCATCTCATGAAGACTGCGACAAAAAGCAGCCACCTGTTCTGTACTCTATAAAATTAAAACAAATGATTATTTCCAGAATTCAAAATGTCATAATTATAATTCTTTTGAATCAGCCATCTTAAAGTACATTTTCCTGTTCCAAGATGAAAATTAAAGCAAACTGTGACATATTGTACCAAAACTTTAAAAATATAAATCTGCAATTGATTCCAGAAAATATTTTGTTAAGAAACAAATTATATAATTAAATTTTTTATGTAAACATCATTCATTATACATCTCCATACTTTCTATACTTGGTTCCACAATATCTTCACATTGCATTGTGTTTGTTAAACTTCTCACTTTTGTCTTTTTGATGAACTCTTCAGAACCGTCCAACTACCGTTTTTTCAGTGTTTTCTTTCTTTTCAATCCATTCATTCTTCCCACTCCTTCATATATTTGTTTTAAATATTTATTCTAATTCCTTCACTTTATATCGTAAATAGCCAAATAACATACTTCTTATATATTTCATACTGGTCACTCACATTTGCATTCAGTTCTTATTTATTTTGCCCACATTCATTCATGATGCTATACCTTCTTGCTTCACTACTCTGATTTTAAAGAAAACTATTCCTACTGCACACAATTAATTATGTTTTTCTTGACCCACAATCTCTTGCTTTCACAAAACAAACAAGCATATTTTAGATGCCACCATTTTGACAAATATCATTTCCTTGGAAAAGATTACATGCCAAAGAAAATATTATTTTTTCTACTTATTTGTTAGAAGTACAGCATTTGCATTGATAGTGTGCATAATCAATTGCAGAGAGCCAGTCTGATGTAGTGATGAAGGCATCATGCCAAAAACCATGAGACTGTGATTCTAATCCTGCCTATAGCATTATCTCAACTGGGTGACTTTGGTCCACTCACTGTCTCTCAGCCCTTTAAAATAGGGAATGGCACAACAATCCAAAAATCTTTGGAAAAAAAAAGCTGCAGAAAGCAGAAGTTCAGGTAGTCACCAGGAGTCAACATTGACTCAAAGGCACAAAAGAAGTTGGTTGCAAAACAAGGTACACAATGGACCGAATTAGAAATGCCTCTTTCCCTTACCAATTCTATAATCAAAATTATACTCTTACCTGATTATAAAACAATTCAATGTAAAATTTCTCAAATCTTTTAATTTCAGCTGTCAGAATGTACTTCAGGAAAATATTATTCTTTAGTAAGTCTATGCAACTTAGAATAATTTATACTAAAATCAGAATTAGAAATAAAGTAAAATATCTTAACCAGATGAATAGCCTTTCCAAATTCTGGTGCAATCCATAAGTGTCAGACAACAGTTACCATAAGCTGCACTAGGTAAACCAGACCAGGAAATCACAAGAAGGCTATTTTTATTGAAATTGGTTGTAATAACAGAATCTTGCAATTGTGATTGTGCTATATCTCTTCTTTCTTCAGCAGGTAAGGGAGGCATAATCTGTTCTGACTTTAAAAATGTTTCAGTCTCTTTTGTCTAGGGAACAATTCCAGTATATTTCCCTCAAAGTTAAGCAAGTTCCTTACTTTCTACAGTTACTTCCTAGTACATGATGGCAGGAGTAAATATGCTGACATATTTTGAGCATAAACCAGAGAAAATCTAAACTCTTCAGCTATTAACCTCTACATGGAGTTTTAGATTGTTTATCAATCCCCAAACATTTAATATATTAAAATAATAAATACTACTTAAACTAATAGTACTACAAACAATGATAATAGTAACAGCAATAACAAAACCTTTGGAGATTGATATTAACCACTTTGGGAAATCCTGCTTTAGCCTCTTAAATTATGTATGAGCACAATAAGATGGAATAGTAAGCAGGAACTAAGTTAAATTATATAGTTCTATCATAAAGGAACTGTTAAAGTATACATTTAACATCAACTCCAAAGTAGATATTGTAGAATAACCCATATAGCCCATTTAACATTCTATATCATCAATTTAAAAGAACAAAATATGCATTTCAACATATGAGAGAACACACTAAAATATTCTTCATTTATACAATGTTTCTCTATTGCTAAATCTTGAATTAATTTTCTATTCCTAAATGTATCACTCTCCCTGAGATTACAATTATAAATAAAATGGGTGGTATAATTAAGCCAAGTGATTATTAATGACCCAACTACTTTAAGTAAGTTGGTCATAAATCATTTACTAAAGTTTTGCATTTTTCCCTAATTTTCTATTTATAGAGATTGAAATGAAACCTTACATATGAAAAAGTAAAAAGAAAAGAAACCAGCTACTTGAGAAGCACTCCAAACAGTCCCTGTGAAATACAAGAATTTTTAAAAGACAAAATAGCAGTAGATTATTTAGAAACTGTTCCAATTAATAAATCACTTTAAAAGTAAATAACATCAAAGAAACAATGCTATACTGTCCAAGCTCACACTAATACAACAAAGGCATACCTTAAGAAAAGTTAATATTTCTCTTCTCTTTTGAACTTAAACATACAGCATTACTTACCTATAATTGGTTTTCTATAACACCAAGGACAAACTCACTGCCTTTTGCAAGACGAAGCATTTGAGCTTTAGCAGCTGGAATGAGCGCTGCAACTGCTTCAAACTTGAGATTGCCTTCTGCTAGCTCATTTCCACTGTCTAAAACTAGCTATCAGAAGAAAGGCTACAGGCTTATATGTCAAAGTGGAAGGAAGTCAGAGGCCAAATGCATTTTCCTTCCTTTCCACTATGATACAATGGCAACAGTATTAGTGCATTACTTCATAGGTCAGACCCAACTCTCACAGGGTAAATTCATTACATTATTGTGTTTTCAAATAGATATTCCACCTCTCTTACAGGGATGATTTACACATGCCAATGGATTTATCTTTGTTGCCATTTGTTCATGCTTTGGAATATCAGCAAATATATTGTCCTGCCTCATAGTAATATGCATTAATGTGTTCTTCCCATATGGCAGCATACATGTATGAGACAACGCATTTCCTTCAGAAGAATGATGTTTATGTAAGGGAGGAATATTGCATAAATTTACTTGGAGGTTGCATCATTTCCAAGCATCAGGATTGTATAGATTGAGGGCTTTGTTCTCAAAGCAAACAAAACTATGTCCCAAAGGAAAAGACCAGTGGACAAAAAGTGTCAAATTAAAATCAAATTAAATTAGTGAAGTTTATTTTATTTAAACTGCATTTAAATAGAATAAGCTTTAGTCTTGATGAAAATTCAATATTAATAACATTCCTAATAAAAATCAAACATCAGATGTGGCATTTGTATCATAAATATCATTAAATTATATTTTACATACATGTACCTTTAGAAGACTTTCAAGATAACAAACTTCACACTAAGCTATCAGATAAAAAAAATCAAATGGGCAAGCTCATATGATAATGGTCAGCAATTAGAAATCCATTTGTTCAGTCACTTTAATACAATTGTTGTGTTCTACTTCAGTCAAAGGTAGATGGCCCTGAAATAACTTTCCAATTAGGTTCTTTCCATGAAAACTGTGGTACAACTTTACACATGCACACACACACACAAACACAAAATGGCAGCCTACATACATGTGTGTAAAATTGTGTCATTCAAAATGTGAAACACTAAAAAGGGGCAATATCAAAGTTTGAAACCTAATAACTTATGGTAGTTATTAGGATCCATAGCTCTTGTACTTATTATGGGCAAGACAGAAACATTTGGATTTAGCAAGTGATAATGAGCTACAATCAAGCCACTAATTGGTTTTATTTCATATTAATTGTAAGTAGGAAAAAAAGAAAGATATTCTTCTGGAAGCAATCCTCTAATCACATTCTTGTGAAATTGGCATTACAAGTTTGAGCCAGCAGAGATTTTACTATTTACAATGTGAAAATGAAAGTTTCACACCTTGCTTGTTTTATCACTCTCATCAGAGAATTCCAAGATGTTCACTTCTGTCTCTTCTAGAGATGAGATACGTATTGAGATACAGTTGTCTTGATCATTGCTGAGCAAGGGCCCTGCCAGGATGCAAAAGAAGAATGAAATGGGTAACATTTCAGTGCCAATACAAAAAAAAAACAGTTTATAAACAAAACAAAACAAAAAGAAATAAAAAGAAAAATTTTCTCTTCTCTTCTCTAATATTGGCAAGCTCTCAAAAAATGCAGGATTATTTTTTTTACCAGATCCTAGCCAGATCATGTACATAGGATAGGTTCAGATCAAAATAATTCTTTTCCTGATATTTTACCATACAGAACTGATATCTCGTATATTTTTCTCTCCTCCTCATCCTCCCTCCCTCCCTCTCTTTCTCTCTGTGTATATAAACAAATCCTAGGGATCAAACAAGTTGGAATATATGACAAAACTGGTTTTTGAACTCCAAAGAATTAAAATACAAAATGTATCTACTTGTCATAGAAACACTAATGACATTATATATATATATTATTAGACCATGTTGCCTATGAGTACAGGAATAGTTTTGAAAGTAGATCTCAATAAGGTTATATAAGTAGATCTGAGCAGATACATTTTTACTCTGTTGTACATTCCATTTCATCTATTTATAGTATTCCAATCCTGAGATATCAAAATACTCAGCTTTCAACTAACAATGGACTCCTTTCTAAAAATAAAAATTTTAAAGCATCTATAGAAATAGCTAAAACAATGTCATATATCTGTGATATGTCATATATATGAGGCTGTAATAACTTCATTTGAAATGGAGAAGTGACTTTAAATCAAGTCAATATTAATTTCTTAGCTGATGGTAATGAACTTTTTATAACTATCTGCACTTTCTTTCTGTTATACAAAAAAATACAGTAATCTGCTTCTTGCAATAGAGACATTATTCCCCCAAAGAGAGCTATTTTGAATCTTTATAAAGAGCTACCATTAATGCCTTCCATTCTTAAAAACATAAATTCTTTACTTCAATTATCCTCCAGCATATTATTATTTAAAAATACAAGCTATTCATATGATTTCTACCAACTGTAGTGGAGCACTTGCCCTATTTTGTTGTATTTACTTTGTATTTATGGTTCATTTTTATTTATCTCTTCATGTTATAGAAGATGTAGCATAGACTTCAGACTATGAAATTTCCTGCCATTAAAAAATAAATTATCTTTGGACTACATTAAAGGTATGAGGACTGGGTGAGGAAAATTTACATTAATGAAAAATTAAATAAAATATTGGCAGTTGAAGATAGCAAATATAGGTCTTTTAATGTTTATCTTGTAATATTAATTATAGATGCAAGTTTCAATAGTTTGTCTTTTCATAAAATAAAAATATTGTCCATAATAATAAAAGATGAATAAATTAGATCATGTTAGGATTATCAGATCTGGGCTATATAATTTCAGAGAAGATTATTTATATTAAATATTATTAGTATAATGAAACAGGTTCTTGGAAAGCAATTGAGAGTTAAAAATATTAACGTTTGGTTAATACTTATCCCTCAAATCAAAGAACATAGGATTTAACAATCTTGGATTGTTATATAAAAAGCATTCATGGAAGAATGTGTATATAAGTCTTAAACTTGTCAATTCTTAACCTTCAAATTAGTTTTGATTCTTTGAACCAAAAGAGAAGTAAAATTGGGCAACATTGTCTAGATTTAATTTACTGTTGAAACTAAATAAAGCATATAATTTTAATTTTAATATATATATTCTTCTTTAAAGTAAATGTGCTTATGTATGTGTATACATGTATGTATGTGGATATATAGATGCACCTTAAAATGTAAACAAGTACATTAAAACACTTCCATATCTAAACTAAATTTCAGGTAGCCCAAATAAGGCAGTAAGATTGCCTAGTCCAATTCAAAATGAGTTTAACAACTTTCCAAGCCTTGAAGATTTTTAGCCAGGTTATTTGGATGGATTCCTTCTCCCCGTCCTATCAGATGAGGCAGGGCAAATGGCTTCAATAGAAAAGTCCTTTCAGTGTGGAAGAATCTCTCTAAAAACATATACATTACTAGAATTTATTATTTCTACCACATCAAAAATATGGTATAGAAAGATGAATAGCACAAGAACAAGTGATAGAAAAAGTTTGGCTTCCTAAAACACCTACCCATGCGTTCTGTAGTCATAGGACTCACTGCACTTTTGGTTTCTACAAGGAGTATATTTGACAATTGTTTTGCTTCACAAAAGGCATGACTAGTGAATTCTGCTGCTAAGATACTACATGCTATTCACATTTAAACTTTGTTTGTTTGTTTTTTTTAAAAAATCACCACTGTTATCCATACACTTGTAATATCCTCTTAGTATGTTATATAGCACAAATGCACTCAGAATCTATGCTGTCAAATGTTCTGAATCCAAGTGCTTTATTGCTATGCAACAACGGTATGCAACCTGCTGTCACTCAAAGTGGAGAGGCCCTTTGAAGTCCCAAATGTGCTTTTTCAAGAGGCAACTGGACTTTCTGGTTTTTCTTTGAAGACATTTGATTGCTCATTTAAGAAGCTTCTTCTTGAAAAAGCATCTTTGGAACAACCATGACTTGGATGACTGAGAATCTCCATAGGTTTTTTGTAGCTTTAATTTTTTTTGCCCCTCAATAAAAACTTCCTTGTTGAACACAAATAAATGATGCTACATTCTCTTAACTAGCCATCTAATTAAAATAAAACCATTAATATTAGTATTGAATTAAGCTTATCTTTTCTACCTACTTTTACAATATGTTTAGGAGGCTGCTGCCTTTTGGAGTGAGGCTCCAATATGATATTTAGATTTTGGGGTGATTTGGAACCAAATTAAACTTTCCTCTCCTAGTACAGTACCTAGCTCAAAGATTCGGTTGCTGCTAAGAGCTAAACAGTATTCCTGTTCCATTTTCCTTTTTTCCACCCTCCTTTGCTTTTTTCATCAGTTTGCAAATTCAAAATTTGGAGATTCAAATCACCTCAGCTTAACTGTTATATTGATGCAATCTGGATGATCTGATTTTTCGAACATCTCCTTGCCTTTTCTGACTGAACATGATTGTTACTCAGGAAAAACAACAAAGTAACACAGGATGTTAGCAGAGTAGGAACTAAACCACAGCCTGTGGCTACCCTTGAGATTAAATCAGATATTGCCTCCCTAAATAATATCAAATACAGTTGTATATTCTTATCAGTGTGATCTGTATAATGGGTGGCTCCTGGAATGAATGACTCAATGAATGAATGAATGCATGTACATTCATGCACATTCAAAGTTATATACACACACATATATCTCAATCCTTATTTCAAGATGGCCCTGATCGCTTGCAAACATACAAGGCGTATAAGTACAGTATTAACTGTATAGTATTAACAAGTATGATAATAGTATTACTGTATTTTTCCATGTTAAGGATTATGTTCAGTGAAGGTATGAAGAAAAATTCTATACTCTGTAAATAGTTTTCCGCAGCTAATGCGCATCATATCTTATGTGATAAATAAATTCCTGCTCCTTTCTTCATTTAATGATTTTCTGAGTAGACATACATTGGGCATAAATTATAGAACATGTTTAATACTCTTCTAATGCTGAACACCAGTAAAAGACCCACACAGTCTACATTCTGTGAATACAAAGGGACTTATCTCCTAAATTATATAAAATGTGCATACAGTGCACTTGAAGGCCTATTTTCACTGCATTGTAAATTATCCCCTTTTAGTTTTGTTTTATTATTGTCAAGTGTACTTAGTGTAACAAATAATTCTATGTAGAATTTTCATATAGGTCACTACTGACATCTTGTGGCCAAATATATTTTGATGTAAGTATGTTTTTCTCCTATATGAGACAGAAGACCAAGCTGTAGTTTCAAAAAAAAAAGTCTATATTTTTATCAAGTTTCTTTAGAACATGCCTATGATATAGAATAAAAGAAATCTGTAAACAGAAACATGTCCTCAAGTCAAGATTGACTTCTACTGACTTTCATATATTTGAATTCCATATATTGAACTCCTACTGACTTCCATATATTGCCTTCCATATGTTGAATTGTCTTTGCTGTCTTCAGTGTCCTAAGTACAAAATAGGTGAAACCTGCTTAGTTTTTCAAGATTGGCTAGGTGCTGCCAACTAGCAGGGAGATAGATGTACAGTTATCCACCTATATTTTTTAAATTTTATTTTATAAATATAGCCACTTCTGTTTCATTTTCTACATCTTTATAGACAAACTCCATGTTTTTATAATGACATTATTTTTTTATAATTACTTTTTTAGCCAGTCTGTATAGTTTATATTTACACTCAATAAGTTCTTTAATTGGGCTAAACTGTTTCTGACGAGTATGCATACATGCAGAAAAATTCCCCACAGGTATTTTTTGTTATGCTCTTCGCCATCCAATTGTGAATTTCTATACACAGAAAGAATGAGTCTCTTCAAAGAAAAGAATTTAAAAAATTGGAATCTGTTCTTAACATCCTGTAGTCCAGCATATAAACAGAAAGCCACTGCCCTTTTTAATCCAGCATTACGACTGATTATTTTGGAACAACTAATATCATATATGACAAATCACTGTAGTTACTTCCAACTGTAGCTACCTCATTTTGAACTATTAAATAATACTAATATTTAGCACTTTTACATGGTGAAACAACAAGCAAAACCCGGAATTTGCTTACACAAAGGTCTGGAGCACTTTGTACTCTTAAGTGGTTACATACAGCATGCTTAAGAGAGATTTTAATGTAAACTAATCTCTTGCCAATAAATATGAATACCTTGGGTGCTGCATACAGACTTTAATGGACTGTCAGTCAAGTCAAAAGAACCATCTATCCTCCGAGGTGGTAAGTATATTCGATTCTGGCCTGCCTCTCTCTCAGGATAAGTCTGTACAATAAGGCACAGAGAAGGCTGAACAAGAAGATCTCTTAGCATGGCTGAGTTCAGGTCTTCAGCAGGCTTCTTATTAATTTCAACAATTTCATCACCTGGTTTCAGACCTGAAAAGGAACATATTGAAGTTCAACTAGGGGTGCCCTGTACCTAGATGTTAGGGTTTTTAATTTCCTTAAGCCATAGACACCCAAGAACAAATGCTTTCATTTCCTGTACATTTCTGTATTTTGAGATAAGAAGCATTTTACTGAATGAAACAGTTTCAGACACTATTCACAGATGCATTCTACTGTACTATTCTAGTCCAACAGTATCGGAGTCACAGTAAACCTTGGCATATATGACAGCCAAGTACCAAGCAAAGATTGTAAAGATGTCATTTCAGCTATTCTATTCCTACACAAATACTTTGAAATTATGGAGGCATGGTGATTCTGTGACTTAACAATGCTAGAGATGGTCTTTCTCAGGAGATCTGAGTTCTAGCACCAAGTGGTGGAGTGAGCTCCCATCATTTGCCTTAGCTTCTGCCCACCTAGCAGTTTGAAAGCATGTTATATGGGAGTAGATAAATAGGTACCACTTTGGTGGGAAGATGAGCCAGTGCTTCATGAGAGTGGTCAGAACCATGCCATTTACAAGATGTCTTTGGTGTATAAGTATTCAATCTTTTCTGCATATAGAGTGAATTAATGAGGGGAGAGTATACAGCCTGGCATACTCCTTTTGGAGCCAGTCTATTTCAGAGAATTATTCATTTTGTTGTTATCACAATTTAAAATGTCCACTCCATCTGGTACTGCAGCTATGCCAGGACAATTAGAACAGATCACGGGATCTAGAACAATTTAGTCATGCCAAACTAAATGTAATTGCAGTGGGTCTAACTCTACGCATAATCCAATTCAATATATAACCTTCCCAGAAAACAAAGTATCAAGGTTTTCAAGGGTAGATTCCTTTGAAATACAGGCTATATAATTCCTTTTGCACATGTCTTTAGGATGGACTTTTGACATTTATATTGCTATTAACATTTAAAATTCCTTTTTCTTTTATTTTTAAGATATTGCTGCCCTTATCCAGTCATTAGACAAACAACTAAAGGGGAATATTCTACACCTACGCACACTCCCTGAGCTCTCTAGGATACTTGAATTTTTTGTTAAATAGAAAGATGTCTAAAGATATAGTAAATTTAAGATAATTAATTTTCAATGGCAAAAAGAAAGTATACACCAACCCATTATTATATATAATATCTAAAAGATAATGGATAGATACCATATTTTTCGGAGTATAAGACACACTTTTTCCACCCCCAAAAGTGGGTGGAAATGTCTGTGCATCTTACACAGTGAATGTTGCTGAAGCCCCGCCCACCTTCTGGCCCCCACCCTTTGGCCTCTGCCTCCCAGCAATTTGTAATTCCACCCCATGCCCCATTTTCCGACCATTCCAATCCCTGCTGATCGGAATGGGCAGAAAATGTGGTGCGCGGAGGCTGAAAACAGGATGCGGAGGCTGAAAATGGGACACACGGAGGTAGCAAATGGCAATGGCAACCCCTGCGGCCTAAAATAGCTGATCGTCAGGAGGCCGATCCAACCAACAATCAGCCGCTTGTGCTAATCAAGCTGTGCTGAAACAAACTGAAACTGAAACGGCTACTTGCTGTTTGCTGCAAGGAAGCAAATTGCTGGGAGGCAGAGGCAGATTTTTTTTCTTGTTTTCCTCCCCAAAAGCTAGGTGTGTCTTATACTTCAGAATGTCTTATACTCCGAAAAATATGGTATATAATTTTGAAGAATCACAGCTTCTTATAGCCATTCACAAATTATTTTTACATAGTACAAGAGATAGTATACTCTTGAATAATAGAGAGGGGGAAATCCTTGAATGCTAAAGACATTTTAAAGAACATATGACACAAGTTCTAGCATCTTACCTTTTTTAAAAGCCAGACCTGTTTCTTTGACACTGTTGATGTAGAGACGACGAATCCCTTCTTCTTCTATAGAGGATAGAGAAAAACCTGTTAAAATATAAAAAAATAAAGGTATTTGTTAATATTTTAAGCAATAGTATTTTAAAGGAAGCATTTGATAATCTGTAAACAAACTATTTTTTTGCTGATTTCTCCCCCCAAAAGGGAAAAAGTCCACCTTATTCAAGTAATAACAGGATAATAGAATAAATGACATCAGTTATACAACCATTTCTCCAGATTATAACACTTCTCCCAGCATAAATATTCTTTGCTTAAAGTCAAACCTTATGGTTCTGTTCTTCACATATACAAAGCACATATTGTACATTTTGGGAAAATCTGAAAAATTGGGTATCTTAAATAGCATATGTACTCGATTGCAGTCATCTACGTATACTACTGCAAATTGGTTTTTAAAATTCAGCTTTAAAATCTGGCAGTCATCAGGAAAATCAGCAGCATGTATAAGAGAAAAACAGCTTTAGTAGATTGGATGCTAGTTTGGAGATTCAGGTATAAAATATTTATAGTGGAATATTATAAAATGGAAAAACAGATATGAAAGTGGATCGCTTATGGAATCGTCTTAGGATTCATAGCAGAGACTGTGGTGCAATATCTAGAAGCTTAATATACAATTCAAAGTATGGGTGCATTATGTGGTTGTCACCGTCATCATAATAAAAAAGGAACAACTAGAGCAGACACGTGAAACAATTAACAATCTCTTCAAAAAAATAACGTTCACAAGAGAAGACAAAAAAAGAACATACCACCTTCCTAGATATCCTCATCCCCAGAACAGGAAATGGTGGCAAATTAGAAATCTAGGACTATCAGAAAATAACATAAAGCAACCGAGTGCTCCACTAGCAAAGCAGCAACCCAACTCCCATAAGAGAAACTATGAAAGAACATCATTCTCAGGAGTACAAACACACTGTAGTGCAGCAATCCACTATTTCCAGAAACAAAAAATAGACCTATAAAACATCTATTAACAAAATAGATACCGACACAATTTTATCAAAAAGTGTATAGGCACATAATTTGCTTCAGCACAACCCGTACAACCTATGAAAAGGATAACACCCATAACTCAAAAAGATTTCTGAAATAACCAACAGACTACAACTCCATGGCATCACCATAGCACACAGCCAACTAAATTCTTCTAAAACATCTTAAGCAAACCAAAAGACTCAAGAAGAGAAATCAGGAATAATTTACAGTATACAATGCAAGGACATTGTCCCTGAAGAGAAAGGAAGGAATTGGCTAGACATATTATCTATATTATTCTACAGTAATAGGATTAGGCATGAATTAGGCCTGTCATTGACCATCTGCTGCTTTATAAAAATGTGCTGAAAATTTAATTGCTTTTACTAAAAATGTCATTGATAGCATCATTACTTTCAAAGCTACAGTAATGGTTCATGTGCAGGATGGGCTTTCCTTGGATTGATAAATGAGAGATTATTCTTTCAGACAGACTATGTAGAGGATGGAATGTTTTCCTTCAAGAAAACATGATGCAAACAGAATTTTATTTTTTTAAATTAAGGATGTACAATGAAAGTAAATTCTCTGAACATTGATGTAAACAGCCTGGAGTCAGCTATGTGTCAACTGGGCAGCTATATAAATTTGTTTAATAAATAAATGAGTAAAATAATTTATACCTAAATATGCACCAAGCCATGAGAAAGTAGAGAAAAGAATGCTTTGGAGCTGACTTTGTCAGAACCACATGATATTGATGAAAAAACACAGCTAGAGGTCAATAACCCTAACTCTGAAAACGATTTGCCAACTGCAAAGAATACCACCTTGAATAACTGAAAGAATAAATGGTCCAAAAGAAAGCTTTAATAAATTGATAATATCTTTTTCTTAAGGAACTTCCAAAGAAAGGTCAACAAGTGAAAAAATGTTCTTAGCATTTTAAAATGCTGCTTAGGACTGCCACATGACATTTAGGAATGGAGTATACACAGTTATATGATTGTACTTGTGAAAAGATATTGGTATAAAAGTTGACATAATTCTAGTGATGCTGCTGCAAAGGGAGCAAAGGCAATTTTTGGCTGCATCATGACATCAGGTGTCAAGTCATGAAAAGTATTTATTCCATTTCACTCTGCTTTGATCAGCTGCCATCTTAAGTGCTATGTCCATTTCAGGCACTATAATTTAGGACAGATTTGGAACAACTGATTCAGGCTCAGAGAACACAAGGATGATGGGACTAAATATAAGATCTCATAGAGATAGACTGAAGGAGCAGAGTAAGTTTAGCCTTGAAAAACGCTGTGTAAGATGGAATATAACATTTTTTTCTAATACTGAAAATATATCACACCAACAAAAATCAAGAGCTTCATTCACTGGATTGTACAACAGGAATAGTAAATAGTAAGCAGTTAAGTCAGACTGAAAAAATGTATGAAAAGATTTTTTTGAAAAGTTTTAAGACTCCTGAAAGTTCCACAGTAAAATTAATTATAAAGAGACTGTAAGCTAACTTTCACTAGCTGGTTGAACAGCAATCTATTGAGAATACTTTAATTTGGAAGACCATAGAGGTGAACTCAGTTGCTTTTTATGATTTTATGCATAGCATCAATTTAATAAACATAAATGCATATACCTATATGCAGCAGGAGCAGCCTTATCCTTACAATAGAAAAAGTACTTGGTGGTGTAATATGCCTTTCAAATAGAGATGGGCAACCTAGAACTTGCAGGCTTCATGCAGTCTAGAAGCATCATGTTTTTATCTCCAGGAACCCAATTTTGTGCCCCTGAAATTGGTGATAAATGCCAAATAAGAGGGGCATTTTTTGCCAATTAGTAATGGAAAATAAAACGAATAGATGTGTTGCATTTCCAGGTGGCTTAACAAGCCTAATAAATATATATTATTGCATTTGAAAGAAGCATTTACATACTGTATTTATAATTTAATAGTGTATTCAATACATGGAGGTTTACCAATGTATGGTGACCGCCATGTTGTATGATGCACTTTAATCGTACACAATATGTTTTGTGCGCATTGTTGCATCAAATTTCCCAAGTAAGAAACATTTTGGAAGTCTTTTCAGTATTTTTAGCTTGCATGATCTTTAACATGAGCAAGAAGCACCTCACAAATCCTTAAAACAACTCATTCAAAGCAGCAGCTTCATACTCAATGCAGGGTTTGGGGTTTTTTTTGTAAAATTTTATACTCAAAATGTTGCAAAATACAATGGTTTTTACCCTTTGTGTGTGTGTGTGTGTGTGCGCGCGCGCGCATATCTCCTACATGGAAGATCTATTAACATGTTACTGTATAAACCAATGTCAAAATTTAGCCAATACACATTCATCATATAAGCCTTTACCTTCAAATGAATCCAGCATTGCTGGGTTATACCATATCTCAGCTGTATAATAAGCCTTTTAGGGATTTTAAAATGCTAAATATTAAAACTCACAGAACTCAAGATAAATGCTACAGATGGTTTATTCACTGAAGTAAACTGGAAACACAATATAATAATACATATATTTTGTCTAAATTTAAAGGCTATTATTTGCATCCAAACCAACAGGGTAGTTTTGAAAATATGTTGTAAGTATGTATCAAATAACAATGTTAAATCTGAAGTGTAAAATTTCCTGGAAGTTTCAGCATTGAAGATTAATGTTTTCATACTTAGCAGTACACAATTTTATCTCCTAGCTTCAGTGTGAAAAGTTACTTTCTTTCTGAGAAGTGGCTTATTTTTCCACAGGACCTGTTTCTGTATTTTAAAAATGGAAGAGATGCCCAGTAGTGTCAACTTAGCCACCTAAAATGATTGTCCTCAGATATGACTACTGACTAGATTCAATAAGGCTTTTAAAGATTACAGCTTCATAATTCCAAACCCCCAGTACTTGGATAGAATGTCATGGCTTGCAATCAACACCTCTAGGTGCTACTAGATAGAAATAGATAGAAGAAAGTTGCTGTTGTGAATATTAAAATATTTTATGATACCTGTGTAAGCAAAAACTTGATATGCAAATGTATACAAATACACATATCCCAAACTCACCATAATTATCCAATGTGTCAGATTTTTCAAGCTGAATTTGCTGTGTAATTTTTTCACAAATTTCAATTTCTTTATATAACTGAAAACACAATACATTTTTAGAAAGAGTTAGTTACATAGAATTATACTGCTACTTGTCATTTTCCATGCAGCATCCTTTTTGAATGTAGAGAGAAGACAGATAAAAAAAAATCACAGTATGGTAAAGTTCTGATTGGGTTATGTGCAGCTCAACACCTGATAATCTCGTGGACATATACCATGTAGTTTTCAGCTAATAAACCAAATTTATACAATATTCCTTCTTAATCACATAATCTCAGCCATTTCTTCTGGGGTTCAGTATATATGCCTTTGTCAGTCACATTACTTCAGAACATTGTAAGATTGTAAAGTATAAAATTTAATAATATTTTGAAGTTATATTTTTTCTTCATCTTTAATGTCTAAATTTAGTTCTTCCTTCCATAATATTTATTTCCCTCCTTCTTTTCCTTCCCTTTCTCAATATAAACTAAGATAGTAATGAATAAGAGTGACAGTAATGTCAGCATGTCCTAAAAAAAGTTTATTTCATAATCTAGTGTCATGTATTAAAACTACAATTGTCCAAATTCCTAGGCAAACAGAGGGGTTATCCAGATGGGAATTCTGGATATTATAGCCCTAATATATCTGAAGAGCTTGGATCTCATTATTAAACACAACTTGAATTCAAATTCCACACTCATTAGAGATCTTAGCTCAGCCACAAACACTCAGCCTATTTACTTCTATGAACTCTCTGAAGGATGGGACAAAATACTAAAAGTAAGGATATTCTTGTTCCACTACATGCAAGCTCAATTTATCTTGCTCTATATTTAGAGTTCTTAATACAAACACTACCAAAGAGACAAGATATGGTAATATCAATCTCTTTTTTTTCTAAATTCTATTTAAAACAATATATATAGGACAACTATGTAAGCTTAACATTACCAATTCATAAATATCTTCTTCTGGTTTTGGTATGTAACATTCCATTTGGTTTCCTATGAGGAATCTGAGACGGACATAGTGAGCTGAGTAATCCAACTGATGTGCCTGAAAGAAAAAAGAAAATAAATATCCATATATCAATAACCATTTTTGTTTAGTAAAATGCATCTCTTAATGGAGAGAAAAGTCTGCTCTACTTAAAAGGAAACGTTTAAAATTATTGTCTAAACAACCCAAGAAAAATACTTTATTGATGCTCAAAAGAAAACTGGTTACATTTGATTCCCTAATTTGAAAAGGCAACATCATTCTGAATGGAAACATCACCAAATATCAGATCTGGGTGTAAATATATGTACTAAACATAATGTTAACATTAACAAGTTTCTTTCTCTTATTTCCCAACAAAAACCTAATGCTTACATATAATACGACCTAGTTTGTTACTGAATTTATCAAAAACATTATGAGCCTAAATCTGCTATAATGTTAAGTTAACCAATTATATTAGCCAATATCCTTATTATTGTACCACTAACTTGCATATTTCTCTTTCCTACTTTTGCCCTCAAACGTTTTTTCCTTCGAATGAAAAAATATGAGTCCTTTCTTTAAAGAATCACCCACCATGATTTAACTGAAGACACATATTTTCCTGCCCTTTTCCAGACACCAACCACATATAATAATGCAACAGGAGATTCCATGCCGGGGAAAAAAGGCAATCTTATATTTCTTCTGGAATTAAAGGTCCAAGAGACATAACCAACAGTAGCACTGCTATGTTCTTGCTGAGATTAAAAATAACATTACAGAAGCTGCAAGGCTGCATCTACAATACCTTGGAATTAAAATGATGTTGATAACTTACACATACACATTTTTTTGTTTTCTTGACTGGGCACAAAGAAAATGACAGTGTGATGGAGAAAAAAGATGGGCAAAATTAGCATTGCTATTCCTCTACACTCCTGAAGACAACAATTATTTGCATTAAGTAACCCTGTACAAATTCTATTCTGAATCACACAAATAAACAGTAAAGAACAACAACAACAGGAGCCTGGCAGCATTTTTTCTAACAAGTTTTAACAAAAGACTCCAACTCATGAAAGCTAATGCTTTTAGTATTTTGTTAGTTAGAGAAGATATGGTAGACTCCTATCCTACCATAGATTAACACAGCATTTCTCCTACAGTGTTTTCTAATTAATAGTATCTTATGGCATGAGTTCCAGTGTGGCTTATTACATTTATATAAACACAGAAGTTATTATCTTGCTCAGAAGTGTTCACTGATTACAATCTTCACACATCCAGAACATATGGAAAGAAAGTTAAGATATTTCTTTTCCCTAGGACTTCAAACTTTAGGACTGATACTGTTAACATAGAATAGTCTTTTTAATCTTGAAACAATAAGTTTCTTATTAGTGGTTACTTGAATAGGATCAAACTGCTTTCCAATGATTGAATTCGCACATCAAGCTAAGCTCATGATTTGTCTATAGAATACTAGAATCAGCTGGGTTTTCAGAAGCCAATAAGCCATGTCCAGACAAGCTAAACTATGACATGGCATGACATGAAAACCAGATCAGAGTAACAGATCGATTTAGCTCTGTATTCTTTGTACTGAATAGTGGTAGGTGCAATTTTAGATAGTAATCTGTTCCACGCTTGCTTGGAAACGATAGGAGTAGAGTCCACCTTTTTTATATCTCCACATGATGTTAAATTGAGATATTGGATCTCCTTTTGATACACGAATGAATAGTACATAACATCAAAATCAAATCATATTTATGGCTAGCAGTAATTGTAGTCCTGAACTAGCTAAGGCTAGAATTTTCATCTTTAGTTCCCCATGATCCAGGTGAAAATTACAATATGGGGAGTCTTTACAACATCTAGAGCATGAAGAAGCTATATGAACTGTAGAGCGTGAAATGTTTACTATACCAGAACTCGACTGATTCTCAGATGGCAGATGGCAAACTGATGTGAAATGATGTGGTTCAGAGAATTAAAGGAAAAAGAATGAGCTGAATGCAAGAGACAGGAGAGAAAGATTCATTAGTAGATGTTACAGGGAAGACAGACCCATCAGCATTTTCATATCATACATAGATAATTCAGAAAGAAAGAGACATACATAGAATGAATCACAAACCAGTTTAGTGACAATTTAACAATTTAACATTAGTCTCAAAAAAAAACACGCTTAAGTTTCACATACTGTAAACTAACTTCTCATGTTCTACCTATGCTACCTATAAAAATTACTATCTATATAAAATTACTATTTATACAAAAGTTCTAAAAATAACATTATTGCTAAGATCACTTTTAATGTTTTCTATTGTGTATCTTTTAAAAAATATCACTTTATTTTGATAAATAATAAAAATGCTAGAAACATTTTTCTTCAATAATATCTATAGAAATCTATTTGCTAAAAGATATTCAGTATGATATAACTAAATTAGAACCTTTTCATGCAATGTATGCAAATCTCCCTCAAGATATAACTTGAATATAGAAAATACAAAATTTCACGTATATTGTTTTAGTATTCCAGTTTACTTGGTTAGTTCATGGTACTGGGGGATGAACACCATGGATAACAATGATGATTATTTCTAAATTATAACTGTACATCCATTCCTCCTATACTTTGTAAATTACAATGTGCATCGTGTTCTAATTATTCTTTTCTCAAGTGTAAAGATTTAATTTAGAGAACAAATTATTAGTTCAATTTGTTGCAATACAGCAAATAGTCTTTCCTTCCTTCCTGAAAATTTACTTCCAGAATTCTTATTTATGCATGCATGCTAACAATTTACAAATGGTGAGTATTCTATTACATTAATCTTGAATTCTACAAGTAGACATAATCTAAAGCCAGAGAATAGATTGTTAATGTGAAGGAACAGTATTGAGAAAGTTGAATAATTAAAAACCTGCCTGTCAAGATCTACTTCCACATATGTACATATTGAATGACTGGTGGATCCCACCTGAGAATCCAGAACAATTTTTGACATATAGATTCCCGCGTTACCCACAAACAATACGCATATTATATTGAATATACACATACATGTCATATTGAACATTTTTTCTGTCAATACCATCTTGGAACAAGAGGTGAGTTGAAAGATACTTGCTGCTTAAGAGAAACTGACAATTAAAAGACTGATTAAAAAGTTGACATATATGCACAGGTATAGTTCACATAGTGAACATACTGACAGAAAATGATAGTCTGAAATTATTATTGGCTTGTATAGCTATAAATTATCTGGTGGCATGTTTGTCTCCTTCCAACAACAGGAGCAGTTGCAGTATTTCAGAAGTTATTAGAGAGAGTTTATGTTGTTTCCAAACTGTTGTGTCTAATCAGAGACCTCTGATTGCTATTCACATAAAAAGCCAGGAACTCAACTAGATTTCTGAATCCTGGTTTGTTTTGAATGAATAGAGCCACTAATGGATTATGGAGATTTTTTTCCCATCATTTTCAAATATAATATTATTTAGTATCTACATGAATGAATAATCCCTGCAGTTCCCATTGTCATCATTAAGTGAGGACTGTGGGTCATTGGACTGTGGAAGAAGGAGTGAGAGGGTGCACAACTGGTGGGAAAAGTGTGAGAAAGACATGGCAGGAGTGCGGCAGAGCTTTGGGTGCTAATGCCAGATGTGGTAGATCCAGTGCAAGCATAATGAGGTTCAAGGAAGGTGCATAGGAATGCACAGATGGCCGTGGAGCAAAGTGAGGCTGGAGAAGGATGCAGGAGGGAAGGGGGGAATTTACCTGAGCAACTTGCAACCTTCCCTTCCATCCTCCCCATTGACTTTGTTTTGGGAAACTGGCAGAGAAGGTCACAAATGAGACACATGTGACAATGGATTGGTGCAAACATTGTTTGAGCCAGTTTTCAAGCACCTGAATTATGATCACATGACCACAAAGATGCTGGGACAGCTAAAACTTTGAGAATTAACCAAAACCACCACTTGTTCTGCACTGCCTTAACTTCAAACAGTTGCTGAACAAGTGATTGTTAACCAAGAATTACCTGCAGACATTATTAATATGAATGTCTGACACAACTAAGGTTTCATCATTTTATTTAACCAGGGATAATTCCCTGCATGCAAAGTGGAAGCTGTGAAATGCAATTTATCATTTATTACTTTACCTTGCAAATCATTTCGAGGACATCTCTTGCTGTGTCTCCTGGGTGGATGACAGTCAAAGCCGACTGGTTATTTGGCAGGCAATACCATGATGGTGTAAAATACTCATGAACCCAGATGTCAGAGTCAGGATTATGAGGATGGACAGTAGTGAGGGCTACTTCTTTTTCTCTCTGAAAAATGCCATGAAAATGTTTCTGATTAAGTGGAACTCAGCTTTTCTATTAAGAACAAGGTTATTAAGGTAGAATTATTTACTATCAAATTAAACTATAAATCAAATACATATTATTACACATGATGCTGAATGGAAATCGTCCAGTTGTCAGTTTTCTTAGCAATTTTCCAACATATTGGGAAAGGATCACTCACTTTGCAGGAACAATTCTATATGTGCATTGGATTTCCAATGGGAAGCCTGTTTCTCCTGAATTTATTTCATATTTTGGAGTTGTGCCCCAAAGTTAAAGCTACCATTTTCTTATATTAATACTGTAGAAATAAATTAAGGTGATAAATTCACTATGGAATTGGCTGATTTAGAATTATGAATGCCCTGTAGCAAACTATAGCATTCATTTCAAATGCTTTCTTCTTTTGTAAGTTTAAACTAGACCTTGAGGTTACCATTTCTATCAAGTGATAGAAGTATGGAATTCCCATTAGTTTTAAATGATTCAATCTGTTAAACTCCATTTGCTCAATTAAAAATATGTCCCCTGGCCCTAAGTAATTATGTTTCAAAACCCAGTTATGTACATACAATACGAAAAAGGTAAAACAGAGTTGTATTTACCAAAGCAGAAGTCTCCTTAATTATATATACTGATCAACTATATAGAAAAGTAAATTAGCTGAGGTCTCTATGAAGGTTCCTCAATATAAAATGGAAATACTCCACTCATGTTCAGACTTTATGACAGCATATCCTATGACCTAATATTTTCGGGGAAATGTTCAACTATGTTTAATGTTAGCATTGAAAAATTCAGTATTGCTCATTTCTACTTAAGAAAGGAAAAGTATATTACTGGCGACACAAGCAGACATAGTCACGTAATGGCACAGATAGAAAGTTAATGAGTGTTCTGTTGTAGGCAACAGGAAAAGAAAATGGAATAAGGGCTCTTAACATGAAGGAACACAAGTGGAAATCAGCAAAGTAATATGTGAAGGAGAATTATATTTGCTATTGATGAAAATCTCTGCATTTGGCTTTGCATGCATATCATTAATAAGGAATATAGCCCTGGTGACTGTAATAAGATATTTGACTTTTTTAATTCTGAATTCTCCATAAAAATATTATGAAAATTGGTTCTTTCTGGTAGCTGTAAAGCCGAGACGTTTTTCTAAGATAAAAGTAGTGGGATATAAAAGCTCTTCAGAGTTTAGAAAAGATATAGAAAACTACCAAAGCCTGTTGAATAAATGAATGTATATATACCATGATGAAGAAAAATATTTAACAACAAAAGTCAGTTCAACAAAAAATAAGATCAATCTTATAAAATGAAGGTATATATTTATCCAGAGAGGAGAGAGCTGATCCGCAGAATACTTTGTCTCAAAAACAGATGTTCACCCAAACACATGGAGAACGCGAGGTGAGGTGAGAACTGAAGCACATGTCCAGTCTTGTCTGTTTTAAGTCAGTTTCCATAATATTCAGACCAAACACATGAAGGGAAAATGGACTTGTACTCTTTTGAATGCAGTACAATTGCCACTATGCCTGAGGCTCAAGTCAAGTGGAGAGCTGTATTCTTGTTTAAGTGTACACCCATTCAGCTTCCCTTCAGGGTCCTTCCTGAACATTTGAATGCAGGAGAGGAGTGGGAACAGGAGTGCAAAACCAGCCCATTTTCTATCCACATACGCAGTTAAAGTCTGAATGGGACATAAAGTTCCCCTATGCTAGTTAAGTGGATGTTAAATCTGAAGTGAGATCTGATCTAGCAGAGTAAATACCCAAATCTTTATGTTCTTATATAATCTGAGGGGAAAATATTTAGTTTCATATTTGTAAAATGAGGTGTCACCATAGATTTGAAAACAGAATTCAATTCTACTTTAGCTAATATCTGCCTAATATGCATGAAAACCTACAGGCTTCTCATAACAGCAAGTTCTTGGCTAAATATTTTTCATGGAAATAAGTTTCTATCAATGGTAGTCATGTTGTCATTTTAAAAATAAAACAAAATTCTGATTAGTTCTGGGTCCACCAACTCTCATTCAAGTGCCAGTGGATATTCAGAAACTTCCATATCTCTAGCAAACAGACTTTGAACTGAGCTGTCATCATGCTTTGAGCTTTGCTTCATCTTCACTTCCCCTTCACTTCAGATTTTCATTTCACATTATTTCACCCTGCTTCACTGTACTGGGTTCTGGGTCACAAGCTAATTGAACTCCTTTTATGTAAATTAATTATATCCTTTTTTTTACCTTACTTTCTTGCACAGTGTCATCAAATATTCCTTCTAAAGATTTCTTTACAGAATCAGTTCCTTCACCAAAAACCTTCAAAACACAAAGAAATTGTGCTATTTTAAATACAGTAAGATGATGCAAATACTTGCTAAATCTGAAAACATTTCATGTTGATAGAAGAAATGAAGATGGGCTCGGGAGGAAAATTTGCATATCAATTATACTCGGATAAAATTAGTTTCTAAGTACAAAAATAGCTAAGTTACACTGGTTACCTGGTCTTTTCAAACAAAGTACAAAATGTACTCATTCTAAACTGCAACCATTTGGAAAAAATGAGAGTTACAAGCAAGAAACAGAAAAACATTTTTCAAGCCAGAAATGAGGGATGCTAATAGGTAGCATTTATATATTGTAGCCAAATATTCTCAACATTATAAGCTAATAATATATAAAAGATTTTGTATGGACACTAAGTTAAAGTATTTAAGTATTTAAAGTATTTAAGAATACTTGCAACAGATTATTCTTCCGTTGTGCTAAAATGCTAGATCTGTAAAGTGATGAAATTATATTGGGGGAAACTCATACATATGCTTAATCCCACGCAGGCTCTTCAGCACAAGAAATATGAAGTCTGAAAAATTATCTACAAGATGGCCTGTCCCTTCTTAGAAAAGCTAGGATACAAACTTGCTATTTCACAGTTCAAAAGCCCAGATTCCAACTTGCTTCCCATTGCAAATTTAGATTTGAAGACTCTCCCCACCCTCGATGGGAAAATCTTGACACATTTTGTGCTTTAATATAAAATTAAGAAAGTTGAATTGACTGCTAAGAATATAGCTTATTTTTAATAAACCTCAGAAACTTGATTAATAATTAATCATACTTTTTTTCCTGTAGGAAAGAACTGCAAAAAAACCATCATAGCCTCAAAATTACATGGCTCGGGAATGGGAAATAGCCTGCATCAAGTAGATCACAGGCAACACATTTTCATCTAATAAATCTTGATGACGCAGAAAGCAGACATATATTCCAAGTTTTAAAAATTGTGGAGAAGGCTGAAAGAATAAATACAATAATGTATTTTGTAATGTATGTTACTTTTGTGTAATATAATAGTTCATATCTACCCTGCATTCCAAGAGAAAAGAACATAATGTAATAACTTCAAAGTCTCCAATTATTAAACCACCTGGGCTACCTGATTAATGCTTGGCCTCCCTTGCTTTTTCTTTGAAGCAGTGTCCAGGCCCCAAAGAGAAGAAAACCGGCTTCTTCGTTTGCTTGCTGATCTTGACATTACCTGTGTTCGTCTTCTGACACCAGATTCACCTGTGCGAGCTGCCACCTATCAGCCATAAAAAAAAAATCTTAACTAACAAGAGATTCACAATAATGCCGAATAATACATATCTACACATAAGTATTACACGAAGGATTATTTAGGATGAGATAGATGTGCTCAATACTTGCTAAAACCTGGGTTTCACATACATTGCTCCTGCCAAATGAGCAATTTGCACATGTGCCATAATAGCACTGCATTGGGCTTTTTTTTTTTAAGTTAAAATTTTCAAAGAGACCCAAATTAAGTTTGGGTCTCTTCAAAGTATTAAAGTCAATGGAAATACTGCAGCAGCGTCAAAGAAATGCTTATTTTCTTAAATTGGAGGATTAAGTTATAAAATTTGAAGATTGCCTTGTCCAAGTGGAATCAGTTCATCCAGTGAGGTGCAGTTGGGAAGCGTTATTGTGGCTCCCAAACAAAGGCCTTTGATTGGGAGCCACAATAACACTTCCCAACTGCATCTCACTGAATAGACTGATTCCACTTCCAGGAGCACCAGGGCTTAGTTGCCTTCTGGAATAATATCATAAATGACTGGCTTCTTTCTGGGCGATGTTCCACAGGAGGAGGCCATCACAAAAAAGGGTCAACAAAGATCCAAAAGGTGACTGTTCTTTGTGGTGGCATCCTTCCTGTGGAACATCACCCAGAAAGAAGCCAGCCATTCCTGATATTATTCCAGGACGCAAGTAAGATCTGGTGCTCCTGGAAGGCTTTTGATTGTTGAATTGCCCCCAAAGAATGGTATTAGGAAATTTCTGATTGAGGTGGATATGGTACTGTTGATTACTATGGTTGTGTTGTTGCTGTTAAGTATTGTTTCTTTTCTTTCTCTTCTTCTCTTCTATTGTTTGTTTCTAATTTCTATTTAAACCAAATTACTATAATAAGGACTGTAAGCCACATAAGTCATTTTTAATAGAGAACATTATAAGTCCTAGATAAATAGTCTTTTTTGAACAAATCAGAGACAATAGAAGGCCACTTAGTTCAACAGGTCAATTAAAACTTTTTATATGTGAATTGCACTGATGCTACTGCTTATACTGTTGGTCTTAATGATTCTTTTCTTTTCTACAACAGGACAAGTTTTTCCATTGATTGATGACACTTAGATCTATTAAGCTTCCAGAAACAGGAACAGATTTTTTCCCCTTCTGTTTTCTCTTTCCTCCCCATTTCTCCAACCTCTCTCCATGCAGTCTTGGAATTATAAATTTATAACATGGAAGAAAAGCAGCTATTAAGGTAAAGCTATGTTAGTCAGGAATTTGGAAGAGAAAGAGAAACATTTGTCACAAAGAATACATTTGGCTTTTTATGGCTATAGGAGCATAGACCAGATGTTGCATAGCAACAACATTCACTCTATACGAGATGATACCTAGTTTAATAAAAAAAAATAACCTTCAAGTTAAACTCACCAGGGCATGAAAGGAGGACACTGAAAAGATTCCAAGACGACCCATTGCATCTTTAGTTGGACGGCTTGCAAATGCAAGTAGTGTTTTGGGGTTTGGCAGTTCCCCTCCTTGAAGACTAGCTAAGTAACAACGATATCGAAAGAGGTCCATTTGGAACTGTTCTAAGTTTTGTTCCCAAACAAAGATCTACAGAAAGACAAAATAAATTAAGGAGAAAATATATATCTTATATCATACAAACAGATCACATTTTGCATGAAGGAAGAATTTGATGTTCTAAATAAGTAAATACATTTATTTTGAAAAAAAGGAAAAGAGATAGAGATCCTAAGACATCTGTTTCTTGGATGTTAATAAGGTTACAATTTTAAAAAGCAGAAGTGTCTTAAGTTCATCATGCTTTCCACAGATGCCCAGTTTCAATTTCTTCTTTATTGTGGCCAGATTCTTCACTCAAAGATCCAAAATCACTTAGAAACTTTTATGGAATAACATAAGGATATGAAGACACGACTTCAATAGAAAAAGACTTTCTGGATTGTTGACATCATCAGTTTAAAGTCAATGTTTATTATGTAAAATAAATAAAATATTCTGGGGAGTATTAAATTTCACCAGTTGGATCATCATTTGTGTTCTTCACCTTGACAATGGAAAATATTTCTGTTGGCTGGAAATTCCCATTACACAGGTGTTCCTCATTTAATGACCAGCCATTCAACAACCATTCAAATTTATGATGGCGCTGAACAAATAGAACTTGCAATTGGTCCTCCTGTAACAGCAGAGTCATGCAATCCCCTGGCACTTCTGACAAAGTCAGTGGGAAAGCTGGCAGAAATTTGCACGTCATGGTCACATTAGGTTCTCACTTAACAACCTCAATTTAACAGCATCAATCAGGGTTGCCAAAACTGCCACCACTAAGTACCACTGTCATGTGATTTTTTTTCAACTTATGTCTATATCACTTAATGATGGAGTTTCTGATCCCAATAAGTGTTAAATGAGGACTATCTGTATGATACAGTTTTCCTCTGGATAATATTCTGTACGCATTTAGTCGTCTTAGATAACTCAGCACAGGTCAAATATGTTTACTGAATACAAATTTTGTTGTTTATTTATTTTTGCTGAATTTCCTTCAGGAGCTCAACATGGCATACATTACAATTTTAAACATATTAATTAGCATCCCGAGATGAACTCAAAAGAGATTGTGCTCTATGAATTTACATATGATTTTAATCCTTAGCAAAGTCAATTGAAAGTGATTCCTTTCATGTTGGAACTTTTGTGTTTCAAAACAGAAATCAGATTGTTTCTCATTTTAAAAAAATTGACATACAAATTTTGGGAAACATAGTAGAAAAGACAAGTCTAACAACTTTTTAGTATTGCATAAGAAGTACTTTTGGTCACCTGAATTAATTTGAGAGTTGCAGTTTGAATACATTAAAAGTAAAACTACCTGATCAAGAATTGTTTTCTTTTTCTTAGAGTCTCTAACTGAAGACAAGCTGAGGAAATGCATTTCTCCCATTTTCTTCATCTTCTCATCCATATCAATCTTCTGCTCCAGTTTTTTAATTTCAGTTTTCAACAGTTTCACAGTATCTTCCTTGTGGTGTTGTCGTGCTACTGCTGTTGCGCAAGCAGAATGAACTGCTGTGATCCAATTCTCTAATTCTGTTTGGCTAGAAGTCTATAAAATAGAAAGGCCAGAAGCATCTTATTTAATATAAGCTGTTTTAAAAGATTCTGCTTCAGTAAACTTTGTAGATATTCATGACTATGTTGTTTTATCACCTTCTATTTAGCATTAGAATCAAAACTAACAACTGAAGAATGTGTCATTAAAACTAAAGAATTACTGTGTTAAAGAAAGCTTCCTAGAACTTCCCCAAAGGAATATTCTGTGATTTAGACTAGCATTTTAGAGGCAGCATGTAAATATTTATAGGATAAGTATGTTTATAATAATAAAAACTAAACATAGTTCCATCAATATTAGTATCATTTAGCAACTTTATAACTGATCATAATAATAATTCTATAATATCTCTATCATCTTTGTAATTGAACATGAAACAACTATTTGACTAATCCATATCAAAGAATAAGTGATATGAAGAGTATTACTACATGACTTATTATATAACATGCATTTATCTCCACCATTGCTACCACGATAGTTAGCAATATATATGAAGAAGCTAGAAAAGAAGAAGAAAGCAATAGAAGCACAATAGAAAATAGATTTATGGAAAGAAATGCTTCTGTCCCTGACACAGAGATAAAGCGATTTACCTGTTTTATTTCCTGGGAAGGTTGAAAAATTAACAAAATTTGATTTTAAATGCTCTTAAAATATAACTCAGGACTGAACAACCACTTCTAGCTAGCCAGCTTATTTTTTTTTCTCAGAATACCTTATATCAATTATATAAGCCCCACAAGGTGAGGTGGGTAGCAAATAAAGCAAATAAATAAATACATTGCAGTTAAAATGAAGAACCAATTGCTTAGTTAATACATTTCCATAAATTATCCCCTGGCTACTGTTTTCCAGCATTATATCACTGCTATTTTTTTTTTAAATGAATAGACATATATGAGATCTGAATCGTCTTTCTATATCTTAAATTAAGAGTAACCCTTAACTATAATTTAATTAATTTGAGTGCTGGATAACTGGAACTGGAAGATGCATGAGAAAACTTGCAGTTAGATCATGTGTGTAAAAAAAGGAATAGAATGTCTTTTCCTGGATTCATTTTTAAGATCTATACATAGAGAATATTACGAATATCTGAGATTTAAAGTCCTGCCTAGAAATCTGTTAACTACATACTATTTTATTAACCTTTTCATTACTTTTCTTTCACCTGTTTTATATTTTTTAAAAATGTGTCACTGAATAACATCTCAATTTGTAGAAACATAGCCTGTTTTCCTGAGGCTTCCTTTTTTATATTTAATATACATACTAACTTTTAGTAAACAAGCTAAATAATGGGGAAATAATAACAACAATATGATAAACCAGGGGATAAACCTTGGGAAGGACTCATAGGTGGATAAAAATGTAAATTCAGTCTAAACATCTGGCTGACTGTGTGACCTAGTATAATAACAATAATGGCTGTTTTATTGGCATGGGATAACTATGGAAGGAGCATATAACAAGCTGTATTAGCTGGAAAAAACCAGAATAATTCTGGCTGACATTGGATATAGTTAACTGTAAGTGAAGTTTAAATTATAATACTTTACTGCATCAAAGAATTCAGTTATTGGTTATGTCAGTGTTTTGACTGGTCAGTGACAGAAAGGGAATGTAACTATTATTTAAGTTGTCTAGAATTAAGTGAAGTAAGAGGACTGAGCTATTACAAACTAAGCAAAGTTTGGTTTTCTATTGTTCTGTCTCCAAAAGAAATGTAAAACCTTATAAAGAAATATATGTACCTGAAACATGAGCATGCCATTTTAAGATGTCACAGGCATCTGATTAACACCAGATGTCTTTCAAATTTAATGGATCTGTACAGGTATCCATGGTAGCTGCCTGTCTGAAGGAAATCAGCAGGAGTATATGACATATTTGAAAGCAAGGCAGCAAAAAAAAAAAGTGCCAGTGCTTTGAGGTAGGTCAGGAAATAGACACCAGAAGAACTATACAAGCTCAGTGTTATTGTTATGTAGTATAACAACATAATCTTGACATAGTTTCTTTCTCCTTCCCACTTATGCTTAAGAGAGTCAAGGACTTATGAGCCTGAGTGTCTTTCTCACCTCCTACTGTCTTTTCTTTCCATAACTACTATTAGGTGCCTTCTTCAAAGTTATCTCTGAGTTCACAATAACATCTATTCTTTGCCTATGCGATATTTTTACAGTTTTGTTTTGCATTCAGTTTCATCAGCAGTTTCTGCTATATATTGAAGTCCTGAATGAGATTAAAATGGCCAAGGATCTTTATATCTAAAATTATAAGCAATAACATCTCATGAATAAGACCTTTGTACTAACTTTATATGCTACTTGATTCCATTTATATGCTGTTGTAAATATTCATGAATTATGTGGACAAAGGTAGATTATTACCTTTAAATTATGGATATTTTTTATAATTTGTTGCATAACAAATAAAAGATGGGGAGGTATAATAATATGCAGATTAATTCTATCTTACTACATTATATTTATATATTTCTTCCTACCCATAATTTCTTTCCTAAATCTTAGGAGGAAGGGAAGGAAGGAAGACCTAACAGATACACCATTGTCAGAAATCACTTTATAATTACAACAAAACACTATAATTGGCTTAGCTCTAGGAGGGCCCCTATGTATTTAGCAACTATCTGGCCCATTGTTTCCTAAGTTTCTTTCTAAAAATGTTTTGTATCTTTAGAGACTTATTAGGAGTAAGATTGGTACATGAGGCAAACCCACTGACACAAAAAAGAGGTAAACTCAATGAAAGACACTTTGCCCTTTTCTACTAATCTTTCTTAGCAATATAATAATAATAAAAATAATTATTAATTATTTAATTTATTAAATATTTATGTCACATGACCAACAGTATTCTGGTAATTTACAAATTAAAAATAAAGAGAAAAAGAAAAGCAGACAGAAACAGAAAATAAAAGCACGCAATCCAAAGAGGACTTTATCCATCCTTGCCAAAGGTCTGGGTGAACAATCAGGCTTCCAAGGTCCTTCAAGGAACCAGTAGGGTGGGGGCCATTCAAATCTCATTCCAGAAGGCAAGAGTTGTTACAGATGAGACCATTTCTGGGCTCCTAATCAAATATATTAGTTAATCAAAGAAACCCTGAGCACATCAACCCTGCCAGATTGAAGCATCAGACAGATATTACAGAAGGCAAGCCCTGCCAGATTGAAGCATCAGACAGATATTACAGAAGGCAAGCAATCTCTCAAGTGCCCCCATAGGGTAATGACAAAGCACCTTGAATCACACCTTGAATCATGCTTGCAAGCTATTCTGGCTACTAATGCAGCTTGCAAAACAAAGGGTTAAATGAACATCCCAAGAAGTGCTCATCACTGCCCTCATTGCTATCTTCTGAATAAGTAGAAGCTTCTGGATGATCTTCAAGGGAAGCTCCATATAGAACACATTGTAGTAGTAAGTCATAACTGACTGAAGGCTCCTTTTATCTAGGAAAGGGTGTGACTGGCATGCCAGATGAAGCCTTGCAAAGTTCTACCTGGCTACAGCTGCCACCTGCTCATTGAGCAGGAGCTCTGTTTAAGTGAACCCTCAAATAGCACCCCATCCTTGAACAGTGAAGTGCAAGGTTATAAATAAAATATCCTCAAATCTGGGCAGCCCAAACACTCACAATCACTCAGGTTTGATAGGAGTTTATTAGAGATGATTCCATCCCATCGTAGTCTTTAGGCACTGGGACAGAACCTTGGCAGTATCACTCAGGTGACCCGGGTCAAAAGATATAATTTGGTGTCATCAGCATACTGATGATACCAAACCCCAAATCAGCAGAGAACCTCACACAGTGATTTAATGTAGACAGTATAAAAAAGAGAAAGAAAAAAAGAACATGAAGGAAGGTTCTAGGGAGCAATTTCTTCCTCATCCTCATGACTGGAACTGATCCTGGAGATAGGATAAGAACTATTATAAAATGGTTCATGCAATTCCCAACCTGTGAAGCCAGCTGAGAAGGACCTCTTGGCCAGCAAAGTTGAAAACTGCCAAGTTATCCAGGAGCCCAAGGATAGATATGCAGAAAATGAAGAATGTCACCTGTAGGGTACTCCTTAACTCATGCATATAAAAATCAAATAATCTGAAACCCACATGAACTCAATATTTCAGAATCTTCAGCAATATCCAAAGATTCTTGGCAGATGCACACTGAATCTGAAATTGCTCACTGGATGACAAAACAATCTTACACCTATTCTTTAATAAAAGAGTATCTCTCCACCTAAAGCAAGTAAATCTTTACAGAAAAAAAATATTTTATGATATATTTATGCAATGTTTTCTTTTGTGGAAAAGATATATGCATACTGCAGTAAAATATTTTATGAGTTCTAATGTTATGTTTCCCCATATATTAAATGTAGGTATTAATACATGTTTTCTACACTTTTCTTTGTAATCCAACATTACTATCATTATTATTATTATTTTGGAGAACATGTGCCTCAGCATAGCCAAGGAATGATATGATATGATGTAGTCTAGCCTTGCCAAAAAAATTCCTCTGGAAACAAATTCCTATCAGCTCTAAATTGCATAAAGTTCCCCAACATTTGGTTATATCATGGCACTATGTATTTTAAATAAGCCCAGTTTATAAAAAGAGCCCACATTTATCTATGCTATTTATGTATCTACACCACTTATTTATGTAATAAAACTCTGAGTGGTGAAAAAAGAAAAAATCCTAAATATCATTAGTGATTATAATTTATATAATTATAAATAATTACAGGTCAATAATTAGGTGGCCTCTTCAAATGTTGAAGTATCATTTAGGGCTTTCTCTGAAGGATATGTTCAAGAAGGAAATCAACAGCATCAGCAGCAACAACAACATGGATGGATGAAACTAACCTGAAAGAGAAATGCATCTCCAAGGGAATTGCTGAGGCAAAAAACATAATCTTTCTTTGGATGTTCAGGTACTGCTTGTACTATGCTGTTTTCCACCCATACTGCATGTTTTGGGATGCTGTTGTGGTCTATCCCAGATCTGCCATCACTTTCATAGAAGAATAAAGTACAACCTTGAAAAAAACAGCAACTTATTAGCAATGTATGTATCTGAGAAGATAATATGGTTAGCAGAATATAACCTTTCAGAATTATGCAATGCCAGCATTCAGAATGATGAAACAATAGAAATAATAGCCAGTATGAGTGCTAATAAATAAATAATCTAGCATGTTCTGCTGTGGATCTATTTCATTCACCTAGCCATATCCTGCTTCAGTACGTTCCATTTCATACACTATACAAATATATACAGTATTGCCATTCCTATTCATGCAACAATTATATTCACCAAGCATGTTGCACTTTCTGTGGACTGAGAGTGTTTCCCCTAAAAACTTGATTTTTTGAAAAAGTGAAAAATCACTAATATCTTGATTCCCCACCTTCTGTTCAGAGCTAATGCCAGTTTGACAACACAATGACCAGTATTACAGAATTTTCAGAGTACAACACTTAGTAATACAACGATGCATATAGTACAATACAGAAACTATATTACCATTTTCAATATATGGGCCCTATGTAGCATTCCTTCAGAATAGTAAGGACAACAGTAATGGTCAATTGTGGCATATTTTGGGTGTAAGGAATTTGTCAACCAAAGCCCAGTTTTACACTGAGCATCCTAATACTATTTTATACAAGCTTAAATCTCTAATCTAGAGACAATCTTGCAAGCAATATATTGTTCTGTACATCTCAACAGCCTGAGACACATGCAACCTATTAACGCATTTGCTTAAAGAAATCTTTGTGCATTTGAGTTTAATCAATTGTCAAGAGCTTGACATGTGCAGGACTTCCTTGATTACTTAACACATTTATGAATAAAAGAATGCTATGGCTGCATTGCATTTTTGGATGCAAATGATGCTGTGTTGTTGGCTCAGGAGCCAAATAATTTGTAGAGAATGTTATATGTAACCAGGAGTATTGGTCTGAAAATTAATGTAGTTTTTGTCTGACAGGAAAAATGGAGTAAAAAATTTCAAGACACACATAAAATATTGCAGCAGGTTTACTAAGATAGACTTTTTATTTTTTTAAGATTTAATAGAAAAAGCAATGTGTTGAGAAATGACTGTCCATGAGAAGTAAATATGGCTCTGTCCACTTTATTATATGAAAGTATGGTGGATTGTATAAAAGTGAGTAACCAGTACGAAGTAAGCACATTGGCTTGGTCATAGAGAGTGAATGAATGGGGACTTAACTCCAAAGCAAATATATGAAAGGAGAATAAGGAAATGGGTGGAAAGGAAATGGAATACTGAGAAAGTCATGTTGGATGGAATTTATTTTATTTATTTATTTATTTGATTTGTCAATTGTTTGCAAGATAATAAGTATAAGTGTATACATAGTTATGAATACATGAAATGGGTACATATAAGAAAAATAAAAGAAAAATAAAAGAAACAATAGGACAGGGACGGTAGGCACGTTGGTGCACTTATGCACGCCCCCTAGAGACCTCTTAGGAAAGGGGTGAGGTCAATAGTAGACAGTCTAAGGTTAAAGTTTTTGGGGTTTGGGGAAGAAACTACAGAGTCGGGTAGAGTATTCCAGACATTGATCACTCTGTTGCTGAAGTCGTATTTCTTGCAATCAAGCTTGGTGCGGTTAACCTTGAGTTTGTATCTATTGTGTGCTCTTGTGTTGTTATGGTTGAAGCTGAAGTATTCATTGACAGGTAGGACATTGCAATGTATGATTTTGTATACCATGCTTAAATCAGACCGAAGACAGCGTAATTCAAGGTTTTCTAGTTCTAGAATTTCAAGTCTGGTGGCATAAGGTATTCTACAGCGAGTAGAGGAGTGGAGAACTCTTCTTGTGAAATATTTTTGGACTTTCTCAATTGTGCTAATATCAGATATGCAATGTGGGTTCCAGACTGATGAGCTGTATTCGAGTATTGGTCTAGCAAATGTTTTGTATGCTCTGGTTAGTAGTGTGATATTACCAGAGAAAAAGCTACGTAGGATTAGGTTAACAACTCTTAGTGCCTTTTTGGCTATGTAGTTGCAGTGGGCTCTAGCACTTAGATCATTAGAGGTGAGTATTCCAAGGTCCTTTACAGAGCTTGGATCATCAACAAGATCTTGACTATTCAGCTTGTATTTTATTTTCGGATTTTTTTTGCCAATATGTAAGACAGAGCATTTATTTGTTGAGATTTGAAGTTGCCATTTGTTTGACCATTCTGATACATAGTCAAGATCTTTTTGAAGGGTAGCAGTATTGTCTGTGGTATTGAACAGCTTTACATCATCAGCGAAAAGAACGCAGTTGCTCTTAATATGATCACAGAGGTCATTTATGTAGAGTATGAAGAGAGTTGGTCCTAGAACACTGCCTTGGGGGACACCACTATTGACAGGTACAGAATTTGATAGGATGCTCCCAATTTTGACCATTTGTTGTCTGTTTGACAGGAATGCCTCTATCCAGTTATGCAGTTGTCCAGAGATACCATAAGATTTTATTTTTAGGAGTAGTTTGTCATGTACCACTGAATCAAAGGCTTTACAGAAGTCTATCTAGATTGCGTCTATTGCTTTGCCCTGGTCGAGTTGTGTCGTCCATATGTTTTTGCAGTGTAAGAGTTGTAGATTACAGGATAGTTTTTTTCTGAAACCAAATTGTTTATTGGAGAGTAGGCTGTTTGACTCTAAGTGGAGAATGATGGATTGGTTAATAATTGATTCCATGACTTTACAGGTGACGCAGCATAAGGAGATTGGTCTGTAATTTTCAACTAGGCTGGGGTCTCCCTTTTTGAAGATGGGGATGACCGTGGCTTGTGACCATAGGTTAGGCAAGGAACTGGTCCTGAAAGATTTTTCAAAGATTATGCTTAGAGGTTCTGCTATGGCAGTGGGTAGCTTTTTTAAGAAGTAGGCACATATTCCATCCTGTCCAATAGATAGAGATGGCTTTAGATTGCGAAGTGCTTTTTCAACATTGTCTTCTGTAAAATCGATATGTATTAGATCATTGTAGTTATCTGTGGTTCGGCTAGGAAATATTGGGCATGATCCATTGCTGTTTACAAATACTGAGCCGAAAAATGTGTTAAAGATGTTGGCTTTAATGGTGTCGTCGTTGCAGTCTTTACCATTAGGTCCTATCAGGGGTGGGATGGTCCTTGAGTCTTTTAATTTGTTGTTTACAAAATTGTAAAAAGCACGGGTGGAACTGGTGCTTAGAAGGTTTTCCTCTTGTTTAATGTGATAATTGGTGCATTCGGTCTTTATTTGGTGGCATAAATTTTTGTATCAGCTTTTGAAATTGGCAACGTGACCAGATTTGTTTTTCCGCCAGAGTGATCTCTTTTTGGATTGAAGTTTCCTTATTGTTATGGGTAATCTGTTTTTTTGTTTTGTTTTGGGAGTTGTTGTTGGTACATATAGTTTGATGACTCTTTTGATTTCAAGTAAAAATATGTTGTAATGGTCTTCAACAGTATTGCATCCAGTGAATAGAGATTGCCAATCAAGGGATGAGAGATCGTTGTCTATAAGATCATAGTTGCCTTTTTTGAAGTTATAATTGGGGATTACGTCATTGTGGTGGTTTTTGTGTGGACGTATGTTGAGACAAAAGTCAATCATATTGTGGTCACTGCTGGAGAAGGGTTCTTTAGTTTGTATTCCGTAAATTAAATTCAAACTATTGCAGAAGATGAGATCGAGGCAGTTGTTTAGTCTAGTGTTGTTGGTTTCTAGTTGATGGAATCCTCGAAAAGGAGATGACAAATATAAAGAACAAAAGTCTTCCATGAAGGAATTACTTAAGATTTCTCATGAGTTCTTTTTTTTTTAAAAAAAAATTAAGCTGATACAGTTCTGGTTCTCAAAGGAGTATCTAATTGCAAAGGAATACATAAAAGGGGATGCCACTACTAAGCAAAGGTAAAGCCATTTCATATGGGGAAAAGAATCTGAGTCAGATTTATTACCCTAATTTAAAAATTTCCATTACACTGTCAGATTGGATAGATGAAAATAGATGAAAAACATGTGTGCATAATACTGAAGGAGTCCTATTTCTCTTTAACATACTTCTTAAAAAAAAACTTTATTGATTACAAAACCAAAATATCAAACAAACACAACACACAGAACAAGAAAGAAAAGAATTCGAAAAAAAGAAAATGATTAAAAAACTAACAATTCTACTATCGACAGTCTATGGTTCCTTGTTTGTTATCAATATTGGTGATACATTTACAAATACATCTTATTGCGAATATATAATTATGATTTACATTTTACGTTATTTACTAATATATTTTCTATTTTTGTTCTATCCAGTCATACCAGCATTCCCAGCTTCTATAATATTCTGATGTTTCTTTTTCCTTAAGTGCTAAGGTTAACTTGTCCATCTCTGCACAGGCTGTTATCTTCTGTACAACCATCTCCTCGGTTGGAATATCTGCTTGTTTCCAACACTGTGCAAAGGTTATTCTGGCTGCAGTAAGAATATGCAGTATTATATATTTGACATTTTTAGGAATTTGTCTATTAAATATCCCCAATAGGAAGAATTCTGGTTTTAATTCAATTTGCTCTGCCGTTATTTCCTCTAACCATTTTTTTATTCTATGCCAGTATCTTTGGGCTTCAGTGCAGGACCACCACATATGAAAAAATGTTCCCTGTTTCTTTTTACATTTCCAGCAATTCGGATTCATGTTAGGAGACATTTTCGCTATTCTCAAGGGTGAGAGATGCCATCTATAAAACATTTTATAGGCATTTTCTTTATATGCTGCTGATCTTGTAATTTTATTATTCCTTGTCCAAACCTTTTCCCATTCTAATAACGTAATGCTACGTCCTATGTTTCTGCTCCAAGCTATCATGTTGCCTTTGACTACTTCCTCTTCTAATTCCGTCTCTAGTAAATAATTATCAAATTTAGTTATATTTTTTTTATCTGGACCTAATAAAATTTTATCTATTTGTTGTCCCTTAGTAAAAATTCCAAAAATTTTCTTGTC